TTCTATCAATTAAAAATTTGTACAAATAAATAATTTGGACAAAAATTCGATGAATTTCAGAAATTTTGTCATTTAAAAATTCGATTTACATAAAATTCGATTGAATGAAAATTTTGTTAAATTAAAATTTGATTAAATTAAAATTCTTTTAAATAAAAATTCATGTAATTAAGACTGTAAAATGAAAATCATGTTAAACAAAAATTCAGTAGCTAAAAATTAAATTTATTAATTTTTAAATTATTAAATATTAAGTCATTAAATTAATTATTAAATTATTAAATATTAAGTCAATAAATTAATTATTAAATTACTAAAAATATTAAATCATTAAATTAATTATTAAATATATAATAATTAAATTAACTATTAAATTCTGTTAAATTTTAATTTGAAAATTTGTCTAAATTGTTTCCTTCATGAGAAAGCAAAAATAATTATTTTTAATAAAATACTGTAAAATAAAAATTTTAATTAATGATTTTTATGGGAAATTCATTAAAAATACTAAAAAAAACTTGAAAATCTTAATATATTTTATGAAGACTTACATTTTTTGTACAATTCCTACAGATAAATCAAATAAAAATATCTAATTCGGTTTGGTAGCCGCGGTCGTTAAAGCTTAAGTTAGCTCTAGATAGGACATGCGTCTAGGGTTCGATTCCCATATAGAATTCAAATTTTAATTTAACTCTTATTAATTAAAAACTTACAGAATATTTCTTCTGGAATTAATTGTATTTAAAATTAATTACATAAAATTTTAAAAGATTAATAGTTTTAATTTTTTTTAAAAAATAGTAACATTTAGAATTTTATATATTTCTAATTTCAAATTTTTCTGAAATCAAATAATGAATTCCTTAAAACTTATATTTATTTTTTAAATCAGTAAAAGAGATATTAAATAATGCCAACTAAATGAAAAAGACGTTTAGTAGATAAAAATTATGAAAAAATAAACAATGAAAAATTAATAATTAAAATTCTATATTTCCTATTTTTTATTATACTTAAATTACTTTAAATCTCGAAAGTAATAAAAATTATAAAAAAAAGAATACTATTTTGTAGTTCTTAAAATGAAAGAATGGCTTTTTAATTTTGAAAAAAAAAAAATTCTTTAACGTAAAGAATTCACACTATCTTCATCCTTTTGTATATGACAGAATATCGGACTATCTAACTTGATGCAACTCAGCGAAAATAATATTGACCCTATATTGCTTACAAGCTTGATTCACATAATAAAGGAGGGCATCCGCACCCAAAGCGAACTCCGTATCTAGAATAGGGTCTCTCAAGGGGATTGATTTTCCAACTTGGCCCCATTGGGGCAATGACCCTGCGAGATTCTCGTACAGCTGTCATTATTAACCTTTTTGAAGGTTTATATGTTTGAATGTCCTATAGTCATACCAACATTAGCACGATCAAAGTCCACGATCATATTGCTTGTCTTTATACTTACTGCGTCAGTGGCAAAAAGTATTTAGTCTACATTTATTTAGAAAATTTTTTTAAATTAAAGCAAGGTAATATAGAAATACTTAATACCAACAATTAGTTTTTTTTTTAACTTTTCATTAATATAAAAAATATAAAAAACAAAATAATAACACAAACTAGATTCAAAAATAATTTTTGTTAATACAATACAGTTTACAAAAAAATTCTGAATTTTAGTAAATTATTGTAACAGGACGAAAAGTAATTTTGCATATTCTTTACAATGTCATATAATTTAAAACAAAAATTTCAATACATTTTAATTGTTATTAAAAATATTCTACAAGTTACATATCTTTTATGAGCAGAATAATAATAATAATAATAATAATAATATTTCAAGAATTTATGTTTTGAAGTTTGTTTGTAATTAGGCTCTGAACATTGAATGGTCTTAAGTTCCAATAAGTTAAAACATAACCTCAAAATTAGGTCAAAATTTAGGGTCCAAAATACTAACAATAACCAATAGGACGCTGGGTTTGAGATTAAAATCCGCAAACGTAACCTCAAAATTAGGTTAATTTATGAATGAAGAAAGAGAAAAAAAAATTCAAAGGTAAAATTTTAAATTCTTAAATCAAGTGGTTTTTGGTAAACATAACCTCAAAATTAGGTCAAATCGCAAAGCTAAAAAACGAACATAGTATCAAAAATTGAAGATTAGATTATTTGGATGTAGGAAATTGGAATGTAGAGGGGCAAATCTCCCCTATTATTATGGAGTATTAATAATGTGGTGGATCTCTGTAGACGGCTTTAACGGAAAAGTGTGTCAAATTTCTTGCAAGAGTAATAAGATTGCGATCCCTTAGCAACAGTAGCGCTACTTGCGGTAATTGTGTAAACGAATGCTGTTTGGAATTTAAAAATCTTTCTGCTTCGAGCACGTGCTATTGAAAACACGTGGTTTATTTATTTATGTGAGCGTTTTTATTTTTTTACCAAAGTGCAATTGAAACAAGTTTTTTTTAAAAAATAATATATTTAAAGTCATTTTAGTAATACAATAAATAAATATATATAATTATTTTTTTTATTTATTTAATTAAAGAAGCTAAAAAAATATAATATAAAAAATAAAAGGAAATTTATAATGAGCGTAACCTAAAATAAAATTTATAATTAATTAAACTTTAAATTACTTCTATAGTGAAATTTTATAATTATTAAATTATTAATTTGAAATTAAATAAATAAATTAAATTAAAATTGGAATGGAAAATAAAAGGCAGAGCACCTAGCTGGTCATGAATCACTGGAAAAAATAGTTGCTTGTTTGATTTAAGTAGTTTTGCATGGCCAAAGTTGCGCGCGCAACAAAATAATTAAACATCTGTGAGAAAGCTATAATTGAAAAATTCAATAATAAAAATTTCATAATATTTACATGAACATTTAAAAACTGACAAAAGACAAATAAATAGAAAACTTGTAAAAGTGACGCAATAGATCTAACCTACATTTCCTACCAACAATGACATCACATTAAAAGTAATAATTATGTTCCCCAGTAATAAAATCGCTTGAAACTCGTTACTCGGGGGCTTTGGTGTCGCAGAATACGATTCTGAAGTCAGTTTTTAAAAATTCAAAATGGCGGATCCAATATGGCGGCCGACTTTTTCAATACTTAATGCAATTCGCTTGAAACTTGTTACTCGGGAGTTTTTGGGGTCGCTGATTACGAATCTGAAGTCTGTTTTTAAAAATTCAAAATGGCGGATCCAATATGTCGGACAATTTTTTAAAACTTGCTTGGATTCGCTTGAAACTCGTTACTCGGGGGTTTTTGGTGTCGCTGATTACGAATCTGAAGTCAGTTTTTAAAAATTCAAAATGGCGGATCCAATATGGCGGCCGACTTTTTGAAAATCTACTCTCTAAATCTGAATCAGTAGAAATTTTACTAATTCAATCAGTACTTTTCATTTTAACTGAAGTTTCAGTTATTTTTTGAAATTTACTAATATAATTAGTGAATATGCAAACAATAGAAAATAACTTACGTAAATCAGTAATTTGTATATAACATAACCTTTAAAATTAACTATTAAATCAATAGATTTTGTGGCCGCCGCCATATATTTATATTACTGATTCAATCAGTAATTGATATTTTACTAATTGAATCAGTAAATTTCTACTAAATGTCAGTTGCTCAATTCTCGCTAAATGGCAATTAGTAGATTTCTACTGCTAATCAGTAAAATATGACTGATTCAGATTTAGAGAGTAATGCAATTCGTTTGAAACTTGTTACTCGGGGGTTTTTGGGGTCTTTGATTATGAATCTGAAGTCAGTTTTTGAAAATTCAAAATGGCGGATCCAATATGGCGACCGAAAAATTTTAAAAATCCACTAAATTTGCTTAAAACTTGTCACTTGGGGGTTTTCGGGTCGCTGATTAAGAATCGAATGTTAGTTTTTTAAAATTCAAAATGTGGATCCAATATGTGCTCATTGTAGTACAAAAGCTGACCAAAAGCGAACATCCTGGATTTGTAAAACTTGCAATGTACCATTCTGCCTATTGCCAGCAAGAAATTGTTTCGCCGCTTATCACGGAAAATGGAATTTTACTTACGATCCGCCATTTCCAATTTTAAAAAACAAACTTGATATTTGTAATCAGCAACTATAACAATCAGCCTTTTTCAAGGCTACCAAATCATCTCTAAAAACCCCGAGTAACAAGTTTGAAGCGAATTGCATTAGATTTTAAAAATCGTACGCCATATTAGATCCGACATTTTGAATTTTTGAAAACTGACTGCAGATTCGCAATCAGCGACCCCAAAAACCCCTGAGTAACAAGTTTCAAGCGAATTGCATTAGATTTTCAGAAAGTCGTCCGCCATATTGGATCCGCCATTTTGAATTATTAAAAACTGACTTCAGATTCGTAATCAGCGACCCCAAAAACCACCGAGTAATAAGTTTCAAGCTAATTGCATTAGATTTTCAAAAAGTCTTCCGCCATTTCGGATCCGCCATTTTGAATTTTTAAAAACTGATTTCAGATTCGTAATCAGCGACCCCAAAAACCCCCGAGTAACAAGTTTCAAGCGAATTGCGTTAGACTTTCAAAAAGTCGTCCGCCTTATTGGATCCGTCATTTTGAATTTTTAAAAACTGACGAATAAAGAATTTCTTTTTTACCTTTGTTAATTTCCCTTTTAATTTAATAACCATTCATGAAGTTATCAATAAATTTTATGAAAATTTTTCCCAAAATGATTTGTTTTCTTTTTCTCTGGTATTTAAAAGACTGAAGTCATTAAAAATCATTTATTTAATTAATTTATTACAATATTACTTGCCTTGTACCCACCTGGACCGAGTTCGGACTAAACTCGAAATAAGTTTAGACCAAACAATCCGCCAGAAATTACTTTACCTTATAACTTTAATATATAAGATACCCAATTTTAGTATAAAGTTTTAATTATTAATTGTATTATTACATTATTAAACTTATTTGCAGGTTGGCAGAAGTTCAAGAGGAGGAACGCAGGTACACTGGATACTCAAGTCAGTACTGGCGAAGGAAGAGATTGGCCGGATTGAGTTGACTCGGTGACTGAGTTAGTTTGGGAGGGGAGGTATGTTTATTACTATTGTATTTATAAATACCACGTTAGATATCAAATAAATTTAACCCTAATTTTCTTTTACCTATGATTTTCTTTTTGGGAATAACAGGGAACGGTTTCTAGAGCATTTTGCAATTACCATTAAAATTAAAGAGTAAACATTTTTCTTTATTGGAGTACAAAAGTTCAAGCATGGTTAGTTCTAAAAGTCAATATACATACCAAAAATACCAAATGGGTTTAATTGTGATGTTTCGACTGTCAATGGTAGAGGATGGTGTCTTCGGCACATGTGCTGCTTGTCTTGAACTAAAGCAGTTCCTAATTTTTTCAGCAGTCACAACCTTCCGGTTGGTCATGACATGTATTTGGTGCGCGTGGTCGTATTTTCTAAACGGTAACCTGCCGGTGTCCGATTCTCCGGATACTGCACAGAGGTACTCGTACCTGAGTCTAATGGTCGGGACTCGTCTTGTGTCCCGGAAACCCTCGAGTCTCTACCAGGCATGGATTCGTGTTGGCAGTGGTTACAGCCTACCGATGCACCATGGAAAGAGGAGGGAAAAATTGCCGTTGTACGGTCCTTAAGGACCAAAATGGCGAAGAAGACCGGGTGCCCTTCCAGGAGGAGACGGTTAGCAGTGATTCCCTTCGCCCGTGCAAGTAGAACTTGAGCGGAAGAAGGGAATCAAAGTACCCAGCGGGGACCTCGTGGAGGTTCCGTCTCCGAGCTAAGCTCCACCCACCGATGGTCTGGTCACACACACTCATTCACACACACACACACACTCATACAATAGGGTGCCCAATGAAATGGCGGAACGGTTAGTAACATTCATCTTGGACCCGATAACACCCCAACAGGAGTGGGCGTGAGTTAGCGAGGACAAGAATCCTGCACTTCCAACGGGGACCTCGTGGAACATCCGCTCCCAGATCGAAGTGTTAGACCGCAGTCTAAAACCACAACGGTCTCATCCTGCCTCCGGACGAGGAGGCGTAATGCGTTCAAATTTCCCTCTTTAGACGCCTCGTACGACACGCGATGGGGTACGGGAAGACAAATTCTCCGGCCGGACTTCCACGGCCACCTTGCACGGGGAGGGTCCCATTTCACATGGTGAACACCTGGCAGGCGTAGTGCGTTCATACATAATCGGTAATGTCCCATCTCAGCGTCTCCGTCGAAGCGGTACTTAGCTAGATGGGTACAGCCCTCTGTACCCCTTTTAGTCGCCTTTTACGACATGCAGTGGGCTATAGGCGCCCTATTCTGAAGCCGGGAGCACCACGGCGAAGCACGGGGTGCACTCGTCTTTCGATCTCGGTGTGTGAATTACCCCAACTCAACTCGGACGGCAAACCTGCACAGTTTTCAGAAATTGGAAAAGTCCCGGCTCTTACCAAGAAGAGCAATCGTGACTTAGGCTGGTTGCATTGCTAATTGGAAGATGACTGGAAGAAATTTTGTATCAGCGGTGCTGGCCAAACATTAGTAACAATGTAAATCGTTACTTATATTGGTTGGTATCTGTCAGCGTTTTTGCCTCTCTCAATCAGTCAGCTGTTTGGTTTTTCTTGTCAGCGTGCCATGATGTGTTCTCACATTTTTTCCTGGTTATGATTTGCGCATATTTGTGCCGCCTAAAGTCCCGAATGTCAGCGTTGTTATCTAGGTTTTCCGGGGAGTTGCCACCAAAATCGTCCAGGGAGAAGGATGTAGCGATAGGGGTGACGAGGAAAAGAAATAGCGCGCCCCTCTTAACAGATTAGGAGATCTAGGGAAAGTCGGCATCAACGGTCAGTCGATTTTGGATCTTATCGCAGAGGAGACCCTTTTGCGGAAATTCATAATCAAGTATCGCGTTACACGTTAAATTCTTCTAATTAAATATGTTGCGTCAGTTAAATAAATCTTCATTAGTGTTAATTAATTGTGGGTTTATTTGTTTGTTAACTCTAAAATGAGTGTTTTCGAATATCAGCGTTAATTCAACATTGGTGAGTCGTTTCTTGGTTTAATCTTATTTAATCTTATTATTTGGGTTCATCAATGCACCGGTGGTTTTCCTTGGTCGTAATATCCTTTTTGGTTATTTTAGCGTAAGTTTAATTTAGTATTTAGTGACCACTCTTGGAAGTGGTGTGGGAACGGCCGAATCCGCAAGTGTCGGAAACTTGGACATTCTGTACTGGTCAGGCTTGCGAGTCTGATCAGTAGAGAAGAGCATCAATTTTTGCTTGCTGATTTACTGACGTTTCCAAAATTATTTTGCGTTCTTAGGGGAGTGAAAAAGAGACTAACTTGGCAAATTTCACAAATTGTGTGGATTTCCAGTTCCACTAAATGAATTAATATTGTTCACCTATTAATTATTAACTTTATAACTTTAAAAAATATTAAAATGAAGATCTCAAAAATTAGTTTACTAATAAATAATTTATTCTTCTAGGTATCTGGAGTAGTAAAAATGGCACCAGCTCGGGATCAAGGTGGGGGGGTTGGCGGGTCGGGGGGTAATAAAGGCCCTTCTTCGCTCTTTATCTTGAGTGAAGAAAATTGTATAAGAAAACATACTCGTTTTATAATTGAGTGGCCTCCCTTCGAGTACGCCGTCCTTCTTACCATCATTGCAAACTGCGTGGTGCTTGCTCTCGAGGAACATCTCCCCTGCCATGATAAAACTGTGCTCGCACAAAAACTCGAGTCTACAGAGATCTATTTTCTCGGGATTTTTTGTGTTGAAGCAAGCCTAAAGATCCTAGCACTGGGCTTCGTTCTCCATCGTGGTTCCTATCTTCGTAACATCTGGAATATCATGGACTTTTTTGTTGTTGTCACTGGGTAAGATTTATATTTTTAATTTATTATATATATTTATTTATGATTAATCATAAAATTTAAATTCAGTGGTTTTAATAATGGTTTTTAAGAATCAAAACATATGATAATAGAAAATTACATTTAGTGATGATAGGTCGTTGTAGTTACACGTTATTCACCTTAATTTATTGCTCAGTTTTGTCTCTACAAAAATAAAAATGATGATAAAGGTTCATAGGGTTGATATAGTAGCCGGACTCTGAACAAAATTTTTCAATTAATGGAATGGTCTGCCATACAATTTTCAGCAACGTTTCCGTGAAATTTTTATAACATTTTCCTATGTCAATTTCTGATGAAAATTTCATTATCTATTGTAACGTTGTTTCTATCTATCTATCTCTTTTAATTTTCTATATTCCCGTGAAAAAAATGCTCGACGGAAATTTCCATAGAGAACGCTACCAAAATGGCGCTGAAATTACAAACAATTTTACCGGTTTATAAATTTAACTACGGCAAGAAATTTTTTTGTTATATAATTTTTTTTTTTAATTTAAAAAAATTGTAGCTGTAGATATAAAAATTTTAAACATACAAAGATTCTAGTATTATTATTGGACTAGGTCGATGACCGTATTCGCTGAAACTAATGTGGACGTGGACCTACGAATGCTACGTTCCTTCAGAGTGCTCAGACCTCTAAAGCTAGTTTCAAAAATTCCAAGTGAGTCAGTAACGTTCTGAGAAAAGCGAAAAATTGTTATTAAATTAAGCTAGAAATCCCTTTGTTTGTTCATTAAAATTATTAAATATTTTTAGAAAATTTTGAACTACTTAGCTAGTTTAGGCAAAATATACTTTATTAATTTCCTAGATATTTAAAAAATTTGTCAATCAGCTTAGTTATTTCTACAAATACAGTATATGCGTTTCAAAAAGTCTGCTATATTTCAACAAAATATTGAACAGGTAACTGATTATAGAACAAAATATTTTTCGCTCAAAATGTAAGTCTTTTAAATTCGATTTATATTTAATTTATAAAGAAAACAATAAGCAGATTAGCGTTTGTTGATGTATTAGATTATTTATATATATATATATAGATACGTAGATATTTTTACTCTGTGGAAGTATCTTTGTCTTAGATTGTTTAGATATAAATTTTTAATATCACATTGTACTTTTTAATTAATTAAAATATATCTGTTCATTAAAATAAATATTCTGTGTTTAGTTGGTATTAAAAACTGACACTTTAAAGAAAATGTTAAATTAGAGCTGATTTTAGATATCATAACAAAATTAGATAATTTTTTATCCAAAAGCATAAATTGACAATTACTTTTTGCACAGGACTTACACTAAATTGAAACTGAATCATGTCGACACAACATGAAATTAACAAATGAATTAAGAATCTAAATCTAAAATTAGAAAATTTCTTGTCGTGTCGACTGGAAACAGAAACAAAAGTTTGGTGACTCACTGAAAATTTCTGATAACCTATCGTACAATGAATAGAATTAATAAAAAATTTTACTTTATAAAATCTTATTTTTAATTTTTTTAATGTTAGAAAATAATGTTTTGTTTTACAGAGTATTGTAGAATTATTAGCTAATAACAGAAGCAGGTATAATGCTATAGTTGTGTCTACTTTAAATTATTAGGAATATCTGCAATAGAATGCACTTCCAATATCGAATTGGATATTTATAAGTAATATTGCTAAACAGATCATAGGTTTGCGTTGAGTTTGGAACCCCCGAAATTTAAAAAATATTTTTTTTTTAATAAATGTACCAATATTATTTTCAGAACCACTATTAATATGTAAGTTTTGTATAAATTCTAGTGGAGGTATTAGTCATTAACTCCATTATTTCCACTAAAATTTCGGGTACTCGAAATCCGATTTAAAGCTATATTTACTTAGTTCAGTAAATTTAAGAGGGTTACATCAGTTGTAACGCGAAAAAAGGTCCTTTTCAAAAATGTGTTTTTAATAAACTATAAATTTTTAAAAAATATTATTTATTACCTAAAAGTACATGTCTAGAACTTTAATTCACAACAATAAATTTTTTTTATCAAAAGCTCTTTGTGTAATGAGCCAACAAAGTGACGCCTTCAGAAAAAAACCAGAATTCCGCAAGTATAGTGTTCATCTAAAATGCAAAAATAAAATTGATTTACATTTCTTATAAGACATTTTTGTTCAGAAGAAATTTTTTTTTGATTTTATAATGAATCTTCAATTCTTGGATCATGTAACAATTCTTCCAATTCTCCTCTTCCGCAGAGGAATCCTCTATTGCCATTGGCGCTAGGTGAGGCTGCTACCTGGTCTGCAGCTATCTGTCGCACCTCAGCATTGTGCTGTATATCTCATTTATTTTTCACCGAATCAGCATAAAAATTTACAGACACACTTCTAAGAACATATACTTTAAGAAAATGCAAAAGAAATCCATTTTTCGAAAGTTACAATTAATGTACTCTTTTAAAGAAAATGATAAAAATAACACTGGTCGACAAAAAAATAACTTTTTTTATGGTTCAAAGATCGGACAAGGCTATTCTTATAGGATTTTCATCGTTGAACACGAATCTGACCTTTAAAAGTTCCCATCACGTCGAGATTTTGAGAAAAATGGACTCAAAGTCTTAAAAAACTTTGTTTTTGGCTTTTTTTCATCACGTGTAGAGAATGATGCCGAGGAGCTAGAAGTCTCTAATTAGTCTTAAATTAAAGCTTGAACTGTCAACTATAAGAATCAAATCAAAATAGCTTTGAACCAATCAAAAATTTTCATATAGCACAACTTTTTCATGTGCGCGCGCACTCTACTTGCACTCATAGAGCGGTACCGAGTAAAAAATAAAAGATACAAGAACCGCGGATTCCGGTTACAAGCTCAATAGCTGGTAAACGAATCTATGAAAATCTCGGATACAAGCACTTTTCGGTATCCGAAATGCTCATAAGCTTGTAAACACACTGAAACGGATGACTTTTGTAGGGCTTTTAATCAAGAAAAAGCAATTAAATCGATGCAGAAATGATGGGAAATTAAATTAGAAGCAAAAATAAATGATAATTTATTTAAAAAACGCACATTTAAACAAAAAACAATAATTTTTACTAATTCTAACCTCTGCATTAAAAACATTATGAAAACAGTGTTTTTTTGGTTATTTTACCTTGCTATTTGGAAAATATGGTTTTCTACCTTACCGACAGTGGATATTAATTTAACGCGGGTTTTTTGATTTTTCAATTTCAAAAGCAATCCAAAAGTATTTAATTAAAAGGGAAAGTGGAAATTAAAAATGAGCACTATATTATGTTTAATAATATTTTAATAATTTTGGATTGCTTTTGATATTCAAAAATCGAAAAAAAACTTCAAAAAATAATATCCAGTGTCAGTAAGGTAGAAAACCATATTTTCCAAATAGCAAGGTAAAATTACAAAAAAAACACTGTTTTCATAATATTTTTAATGCAGAGGTTAGAATTAGTAAGAATTATTGTTTTTTGTTTAAATGTGCGTTTTTTTAAAATAAATTATCATTTATTTTTGCTTCTAATTTAATTTTCCATCATTTCTGCATCGATTTAATTGCTTTTTCTTGATTAAAAGCCCTACAAAAGTCATCCGTTTCAGTGTGTTTACAAGCTTATGAGCATTTCGGATGCCGAAAAGTGCTTGTATCCGAGATTCTCATAGATTCGTTTACCAGCTATTGAGCTTGTAACCGGAATCCGCCGTTCTTGTATCTTTTATTTTTTACTGGGATACACAATGGCACACTTATTTATTAATTTTATTTGCGCTATTTATTTTTATTTATCATTTTTGGTTTGTTCGCTGAACATTGCTGACTGAATGTAAGGTTTTTATTTTTAAAAAAAACCTCAAAAACCCCTAGATACCAAGTTTCAGTCGAATCCATCAATTTTTGAAATTTTATGTTGTGCTATATGAAAATTTTTTATTGGTTCAGAGCTATTTTGATTTGATTCTTATAGTTGACAGTTCAAGTTTTAATTTAAGACTAATTAGAGACTTCTAGCTAATAATAATATCTAATAATATTGATATATTAATAGTTAAATGTGATTGAACTTAGAAAAAATAGTGGATACATATTTGAAGTATCCTAAGCCTAAATGTTTAGAATTATGTACTGTACGTTTAAAAAAGTAAAATCCATCCCTGTGAAATGATTTCACACCGTATATTCAGGATTCCCTACTGGTATATTTATATTCTACAACTAACAATATGTTAGACAGTATAATAATCAATTATTTTAAGTTGATAATATTTAAAATCCTCAAAAAATTCTTGTCATACAAATAATATATATTAGGCTAGAGACACTAGTCTTTTTTTTAAGTAGATTAGTATAATTTAATTCACTAGTAGATAATTAGTTTAATAGAGTAGTACGTAGTAAAGTGTAGCGGCGTGTGTGTTTGGGACAGGTTCATCACGGCGTTCCCGCATGGCATAAATCTGGATATGGATCTACGAACACTACGTGCAATACGCGTGTTGCGACCGCTCAAACTAGTCTCCGGCATACCGAGTGAGTAGAATTTTTATATATTATTAGATATATTAAAATGGAGATCAATGAAAAGAGGAAAAGTGATGGCACATTTAAAATAAATGGAAACAATTACAGAAACCACTGATGAGAAGTACTGTTGTATAATAAACACAAATAAAAAATTTATTTTTATTGTTTTATATGACACACATAGAAATGTAATACTATATCTTCCAAAGCATCCTAAATTAAAGCAATATTCACAACATTGCTTTAAAACTCATTATTTCCACAAGATTAGAATTTTTAGATAATGTTGCCAATATCATTGCTAAAAGTAGGTATCGTATAAATCACATTAGTAAGTACTTTTAAGATGTTTCCAAAAAGCATCTTAAAATGCAATAATTTTTCAGATGTAAGATGATTGCAAAAGGTGTTTTAAACATTTTCAAAGTGGCTACAATTTTTTTTTTGAGATACTTCTTTTTGCAGTAATATTGCAGCAACTTTAAATGGTGTGTAGGATGTAATTTAAATTGAAGGTTCAGATTAACCAAACGTTTATAATTTTTAAAATTCGATATCATTGGCCTTAGAATCAGAAATAAACTTTTTAATTTCTATTTTGTATAAATATTTATTTATATAAAGATTGGGCAAATGCACTTACGCTAAAAATCATATTTAAAACTTTTCGTCTTTTATCAACAGGACAATGATATTAAGTTTAAGAAATTATAACCGGTTTTTTATCTAGGCCTTTAATTATTCGTGAAACAGATTAATAAAAAAACACATGACATATTTGTCAAAATTTTTGAAGAATCGATTTTAGGAGTGATATTGCTGTGTCTCTTGAAAAATTTTAAAATTATGAACTTTAGAATTTCTAGCTATTAATTATATTATGTATTTTCTTCTGCCATTACAGTAATATAAAAAATAAATTTTTTTGTGCTTACTAAAGGTCGATCAACCCACTAATTAATAATGTGAACGATTAAACGAGTTAGGAAAAGTTAGTTACGCTTAGACTTAAAAAAAATAGAATCTTCTTTTAATTTTACTATCTTTGTTGAACGAATGTTTTAGATAATAGATAATGTCCAGAAACTGAGAAATTTTAATTTCCAAATGTAATTAATTTTTTGAACATAAATGATTGGTTAAAATAACAGATATTATTGAAATTTTTCAATTTACTTGAATATTATATCTGTATTACTGCAAAATCGATTCTACTTTAAGTAATTTTAGCAACTATTCAGTATTAGTGACAAATGCTTACTGTACTGTAGTATAAGCCGATAAACTTTTTGCATGCAATGTAATGAAGAACAATTTTTGAAATATTATAAATTAAATGAAAAAGTAATAAATTTTATTTTCTTAAAACAGGTCTTCAAGTTGTACTCAAATCCATCATCAAGGCAATGGCACCTTTGTTACAAATCGGATTGTTGGTTCTTTTCGCCATTGTGATATTTGCCATCATCGGCCTCGAGTTTTATTCAGGAACGCTACACAAAACGTGCTATAGTATAGAAAATATCCGTAAGTATTGTTTTAATTCTGAGAAAAAAAAAATTATTAAAAAATTGTGCTCAAAGTGTACGGAAAAGAAGTTTTAGAACAAAAATAACAAGTAACAGAAATTAAGTATGCAAAACTGCATCCTTTGATTAGACTAATTCTCACACTACGGAAATGTCATCAAGCTTTAAACTTCGTAGGTGAAAGTCCCTGGGATTTGACTTTCGCAACCCTTGCCGATCTTACTGGTCTATTTATTCTTCGTTCGTGCGAGAGTCTTCTTGGACTCCTCAAGGTCCGTCCTGAAGACTCTGCATCCTTTGCTGCCTGCGACATGGCTGATGTTCGCCTTATCACCATATTTTTCTCTACATAAGAAAACAGCTTGGGCTTCTAATGCAGTTTTCAAACTTATGATCCAACCATTCCTTATGCGTCCCACTTTCCCCAGCCTGTCCGTCTCCTCTAGGTTGGCGACTACTACCGTGACCTATATTCTTTGTCGATTGGGTCCTAGGACCATCACCTTCCTGCTTCCTGGCTTTTGGAGCACTTCCGTCAGCGTCTGTTGGACCTCTTCTGTCTGGGTAAGGTTATCCAAGTCGCGAATCTTCAGTGTGACCTTTTCTGCCTGGGTAAGGTTATCCAAGTCGCGAATCTTCAGTGTGACCTTTTCTGCCTGGGTAAGGTTATCCACGTCGCGAATCTTCAGTGTGACCTCTTCTGCCTGGGTAAGGTTATCCAAGTCGCGGATCTTCAGTGTGACCTGTCAATCTATGGTCTGCATCTTCCCTATGCTTCCAACCGCTTTGGTGACCTCAGCGGTAAATGCCTCCTTATTGGAGTCTCTTCCTATTTTGATCAGAAGATCTCCCCTTTTTGCAGGCCTTGCACTCACGACCTGTGTGTGGCTATTACCATTATCAGCTAGTACTTTGTTTTCGCATCACTAACAAGACCCTACAGAGTCTTAAGTCCGTCCTTAATAGTAATGTTGACATTCTTCTGGACTTCGCATGACATTACCATCTTGGTGATCTCCTCTTCGATCCTTTGAAGACACTCAGCTTCCTCCTGCCTAAACTTTAAACATTTTTCGTTTTCTTCTTCATTGAAAAAACGTTGGTGGACAGGGTTGCTCACAGCATAGAACTGTCACGTTAAATAAAAGCAAGTCGTTCACTGTCACTTTTGGGTGAATCTTTCGCCTTTCTGAGCGAACGAATCGACTTTGCGTGATGCGACTTTTTGCCTAAAGGTGTCAGTCGGGTAAACGGTCACCCAAATTGGCGGACATTTAGAACTTGAACTAAAGTGGCGCCGCTCGTCTATGAGTGTCTTAACATTTCCGCCAAACCTTTTTCAGTGTTCGATTGTGTCGTTGTCTAGGTCAGACGGAATTAAAATTCTTTTGCTGCTGACACTAAAAACGCTTAAAGCCCTTCCTCTTCTACCTCCAAGTCTATCTAAGCGGACCTGGGAACCTGAAGAAACTGGGTGCTCCCATGGTTCATCCTCCTAGTGGCATTGGCAGTATCCAATGTGTCCAATACTGCAGCACTGTTGTCACTGGATTTGGAAAGCAAATACTTCCAGCAGCGCTGGCACTGGCGTATCCCTTCCCTGCAAGTTCTAAAATCTTTGAAAGTACTGTTTTTGATATGTCTTATGACCCTATTATTATATTATAAGCATATTTATTGATATTAATATTTACTGATTTCGACAACTTCATGAATTTTATTTTACAGAACAAATTATAAAAGAAGGTGACCTGCCAAACCCGTGCAACACAGATGATGTAAGTTTGGCGCCTTTGGGTGCTCACGTTTGCAACTTGAGTACTTCGATTTGTGCAGATCGCTGGGAGGGACCAAACAACGGCATTACTAGTTTTGACAACATTGGATTTGCTATGCTCACCGTCTTCCAGTGTATTACTATGGAGGGTTGGACTGCCATATTATACTGGGTAATGCAAGATATATGTTCCTCAGTGTTAATTTGTTTTCTTCCAAGGTATAGTTTAAAAAAAAGAATGTTTGGAAAAGAACGTCATATGTTTATCATAGATTTATTTGGAAAATTTATAACTTTTCATTCAGAATTTAACGTTTTATTTCATCAATCAGTTTATCCATTATTAAATTTAAATATTCTAATTAAATATGTTTTATAAAGGCTATTTAATCATTATTATTTATTGAGAAAAAACGATACAAATTTTTTGTCGACACTGACTTGCTGATTAATTAATAGGGTCCCATAATTTTTTAAACTTCCAGAAAATAGGTTTCAAAAAATCTTCGTATCTTAAACCGCAATAGAATTAAGGCAAAATAATATAGACCAAAATTGAAGCTAAAGAGTCAAATTTTTAAATATCATTCGATAATTTTTTAAATACAATTTTTATACTTAAATCCATAATTAATTAGTCAATCCTCCTGTAAGTAGATTTTAAATTAGAAAATAAATATTTTCCAAATTTACCTGAAATGAAAAAGTTTTCTCTAATTTTGTATGTAATTAATTTAAATTAGTCTAATATAACTTTCTTACTTTTCATGTATTTTTATGAAACTTTCTTTCTTTGTAATAATCCAAAATGTCGATAAAAAAAGTTTTAACGTTTTTTCTTAATAAATAATAATGACCGAAAGGCCTCCATAAAATAAATATAATTAATATTTAACGGTCACAACTCAACAAAATTAAATGTTCTAATTTTATTAATTCATTAAAGTACTTTTAAGTCCAATAAAATTGTTCTTAAAGATTAAAAAAAGGAAATATAACTTTATAACAGCTTTTTAACAATTGATTTTTCAAGAATATTTTTAAAATTGTTTAATAGCTATAACATATTATTATTGTTTGATTACATTAAATACTATGCTTTATAATTCAGAACTCTTTCAACAATCGAGTAAAAATAATCAATACAAAGTTTGTACTACTTTTTCGAATGGGTAATTAAAATACTTTATATTTATATTTTTAATATTTTTTAAAGCATTAAAAATCATAGAATGATTTAAATGAAGTTCTTTATTATAAACTTCTATTATTATGTATCCAAAATAAAACAATTTAACAAATAAAATATAGTAAAAAAGGATCTTTTGTTAAAAATGCTACGATATAAAAGTCTTTATTGAGTTATTGTTTATACTCTTTTTGTAAATATGAAATATAATATCCCCAACAGCATGCGAATATCTAAGATATCCTACGAACATCTAAGGAAAATCCGGAAATTAGGATATCTCACAGAAATCCGTAGATATCCCAATCTCCAGATACGGTTTGGACGTACATAGAATACCCTGTAATATCCGTTGCTGAGGGATAAGTTCTCGGATTCGAATAGCTATTTCGATTAAAAATAATGATTAATCAGATTCCTAAAAATTAAGTGTATTTAAAGTTAAAGCATGTCTCAATGTAAAAATTATAGCTTCTTAAAAATTTCCTACAAAAAAAAATCTCTGACTATCTTTCTAAATAAATGTCACTGACCTGGTAAACTAACGCAAAATTGGTAATCATACATTTTATAATCAGTTATCTTCTATAATAGGAGATTTTTAAGAAAAACTTATTGGAAAATGTATGTCTACCAATCTCACGTCATTTTACCATGTCAGTGTCGTTGCTCTAGAATGATGAACGAAAGTGTGCCTTTTCCAAAGAATCATAAATCATTTTTAAAATTTACGTATTTAAAAAAAAAAAATTTGTAAAATATAACGAATTTCTATCTGAAAGTGTCAATATACACTATTTTCCTTACTGTTGCGACACTTGTATGTTAACAAGATCAGCTAATTTTTATCACTGTCTATTGTACTCTTTACTTGTGTGCTCTATATGTATATTAATTCATATTTCATTAATGCTTATTTTTAATAATTAACTTGTGTAAGCATGATTAAAAAAATTAGCCAAAAATAATAATACAAAAACAAAAATTTTGTGATATTATTAAAGCTAACACTGATGTATATATTCACCTTGCTCAGTATAACACTGTCAGTTTTAACGATATTCATGTTTAATCAATATTTTTATTTTATTTTTATAAATCAAAATCTTTCAGTCTTCCTCTTACATGAAGTAAAATAATAAAACTTAAGAGAAATTATATATGCTTTGTATTATTTTAAAATCGTATTAACACTTTAGAAAAAGTTTCTTTCATCTAGTCACACTTAAAATATTGATTTTATTAGTCCAAACTTATAATTATAAAGTGTGACGTTATTTTTTGTGATTAGCGTGACAATAGCACCAATCGTTATTGAAACGTTATTATTAAATAAAAAGAGAGAGAGTTTGAAAACTAAATTCTTAATTGACACTAGATGACGCAACGATTTTTTTAATTTTAACCAATCAGAAGTATTTTCCTACCTTACAAAAAATAACGTCACATAAGTAACACAGAAAAAACGTGATTTCACATCCCAAAAGTGATCATGATACGACTTGTTGCTTTGTCGCCGGTTACGCGTGCGTTGTTACCATGACAACGCCAGGATCGTATATCGATAATTAGTCAGAGGTTCAATGAAATAATTATTTATGAAATAAACAATTAAAGTCAACACTATTAAAAATACGAATAAGGTGACAGGAAAAGTTACAGTAACAATTCTGAAAAATAAAAAAGTCGTAAGAGGAGTGACAATAAAGATTTTGATTATTCCAGTGTCATAATTTTTAATTTATAAGTTATATTAAATCATTCAATTTGTCTAAGGTATATCGAAAGCAGATTAAAAGTTTTGTTCGAAGTGGATCAGTTCATTTCTAAAAAATTTAAATTACTTCCTACTTCTTTGATTTCGATGAAACTTGGAAAAATTATAGAGGAATAGATCCAACAAAAAACAAAAAATCCAAGGCTATTTTGAAAAAATGTTCAATATTTTAACTAAATACTTAAAAATTCCCCAAATTCCATAAAATTTTTCCAAGTTTCGTTGAAATTGAAGAATCAGAGAACAAGTTTATATTTTTTTAGAGATAGAAATGAAAAGATATTATTTTATGTTAAATTATTTTTCTCAAATGTCGATGGATCTTCATATTTTTTTAATCTAATTTTTGCTTAACTGGTGTCCATGCCTTCTTGTGATGTACATTATTTGTTTAAAAAAATGATAAATTAAATTTCACCAACTAATCAATTTACAGACGAATGACGCTCTTGGTAGCACTTTCAACTGGATTTACTTTATTCCTTTGATCGTCATTGGATCTTTCTTCATGCTGAATTTAGTTCTTGGTGTCTTGAGCGGGTAAGTTCCCTTCTTATTTTCTTCCATTGAATCTTACCATCATTACAGCTTCTGGAGGATACAAAAAAAATGGAAGAGAACGTTTGTGTTCCAAAGCTGTACGTTGCTGTACCAAAGTGACATAAAAAATTGAATTAATTAATAACCGATGTAACTAGCTTAATGAGTCACAAACAGCAGGGTATGTCACTTGACTATCGTGGGGATATTTATTTGGAATATTTCCAGGAGGGAGTCGAGAAGGTTAAATAATCAGATAGGTACCTGATACTCTTGCCTGTCGTAATCTAGGAACATCAAGGAACTTCCTCAGGGGAATATTTTAATGTAGAGGTCACGCTGAGTCAAAGATACGTCCCTGAGCTTTGCATCCAGGTAAAAGAAAAACCCTTCTACTCACCTGGGGCGGTGAACGTGAAAGCAAGTATTTGTCTCTACATCTTCTTGCAGAAGCTTCTACAGAGAAGTCGCGGAGACGGTACTCTAGGTTCATGGTAATGACGTCACACTCGCATCCTTTCGCAGAAGCGCCTACAGAGAGATCGCGAGGATTGTGTTCTAGTATTTAAATGAGCGATACCTCAACTGAATATAGGTTAGTAGGAGTAAGGAGTAATATCGCTTCCAGTTAGCCAGAGGTGCACCTCTGGTCGACTCGAAGGACGAACTGAGGAAAAAGGTGCTAGTCAACAGATATATGTCTGAAGTGAATCCGGACATCAGCCACACACTGGCCAAGACGAAGAAGAAAAAAAAGCAAGAGGAGACACCTCTTGCCAAAAGATTGCGAAGGTGACGATAGCACCGAATACTAAGCAAACTAGTAAAACGAAAGCAAAGAGTGGATCTACAAAGGTGATCAGAGTTGCAACAGGAACAACGTATGACAACGTACTGGGCAAACTTCAGAGGGCAGTGAATCCGGACGTCAGCCACACGCAGGTCGTGGGAGCAAGGACTACAAGAAGGGGAGATCTCCTGATCAAAATCGAAGTCACCAATAAGCAGGCATTCACCGTTGAGGTCACCAAAGCGTTTGTAAGCATGAGGAAGGTGCAGACCTTGGATTGACAAGTCACACTAGAGATCTGCGACCTGGATTGCCTTACCCAGGAAGAAGAGGTTCAACAGATGTTGTCAGAAGTGCTCCAGAAGCCAGGAAGCAGAAAAGTGACGCTCCTAGGATCAAACCAACGAAGAATGAAAATCGCGGTTGTAGTCACCGACCCAGATAAGGCGGACAGGTAGAAGAATGTGGGATGCATAAGGATTGGCTTTATGAGTTCCCCAATAAAAAGAAGAATGATGATTGCTCAGTGCCACCAGTGCGTGGCGTACGGCCACATTGGAAGAGTTTTTAAGGCATCGGATAGATCGACTGCGTGCTTCAAATACGATAAAGTCGATCATAAGTTTGCAAACTGCAGTAGAAGCCCAAGCTGCTTTTTATGTAGAGAAAAGTATAGCGATAAGTCGAACATTAGTTATATTGCAGGCAAGCGGAGGTTGTAGAGTCTTTAGAATGGACATTTTAATTTATCATGTATATTTCAGAAATATTCCAAAAAAATATCCATGATATTCAAGTGACATATAATACTGTTTTTTGTTACAAATAAGTTTCTATTGGTAGTAAAAAAGCAAAAAAAAAATTATAAATTTATTGATAAACTTTAAATTGATTAGAAACAAATGATATTTAAATGTATAAACTTTTTCGAATAAGTAAATATTTCTACTAACTGAGTAACTAACTGATAGAGAATTTTAAAGAGAAGTAAAAAAATAATTTTAAATAACTATGATAATACAGCCAGTTTGTTAATTAAATGGGTAATAACACTAAAATTTTTAAAAAAATTTCAATTTGGATTAATGATAGAAATTTATGTGTCCGTCCGATAGGACAAATAAGAATTATTTACTTCTTTGAGATAATGATTTCTAATTCAATAGTCCGAATTAATATTAAGTAAAAACAGCAATTAGAAAACTTTTGTTTCGTTAGGGAATTTTCTAATGAAAGAACACGCGTTGAAAGGCGAGCTGAGTTTCATAAACAGAAAAGAAAACATCTCTTCACAACTGCATTCAGTTCATACTTAAAGTGGATTACTCAAGCAGGTTAAAAATCTTCTTGTAAAATCCATTTAGTAGATTTCTATAAACCTTTTGTATTTTAATAATATTTTTTAGAAAATATCCCAACCGAAAAAACGAACTCTTTATCATATTAAGGCGAGTTCAAAGAAAGATTTAAGACTTCGAAAGTTCGTTTTTTCGATGAGGATTGTAGTGACATGTAAATTAAATTTATATTTTACGCTTTCTAATAACCCTAATATCAATAATTCATTTTTATATATTATAATTTCTTCAAATTTTATTTTTTACTTAACATTACAATTTCAATTTTCTGTATATGTGTATTTTTAAATATTTCTATGACAGCTTCGGATATTCTACACAGGTTGTAAGAATTTCCATCAGTTTCTGGATTTTCATAGGATGTTCAAATGAAATTTAGTTACTGATTTTTTTTAAGAGCCGAGTCTCCGGATGTCTTAAGGACGCCCGTTGAATGTATTGAAATCTTCGTTGCTGCGAGAGTTTTTACTCTAATTTTCCATAAAAGTTTACCATCAGAAGCATTTAATCTTATATTAGTAACCCTGCCTTCGTAATAACTGTAATAAATATCTGCTAATTATGAAGAATTATATTACCTTACAGTTACATTTTTCAAGTTTTTTTAAATTTAAAAATAAGTTATTTATTGTTTCCACTTTATTTAAAAATTGACATGCTTCAAATATATATAATTACGTTGTCTTCCTGGATTGTAGTGGTATAAATCTTAAATAAAAACAGTAAATTTTTAATAAAATTATGCCAGTAAAAATAAGCTAATAATAAAAAATAGAAATCTAAATATAAGTTTATAAAATATGCTATTTTCGTGGAACACATAGGTAATAAGTACCTTTTTGCCAGTAATCATGCTATCACCCTATGTTTTAATGTCGCTTGTAGAGAATTTGCAAAGGAGAGAGAAAAAGTGGAAAACCGTCAAACATTTTTGAAGTTACGAAGGCAACAACAACTAGAACGTGAACTCAATGGCTATGTCGAATGGATTTGTAAAGCAGGTTAGAAATGCTAGACAATTATGCTTTAATTTATTCCCAAGTTTATGCTTAAAACTGTTTAACAGAAAAAGTGTCTCTCAAATAGAGTCGTTAATGTGTAAATCATAATAGTTCATTTTGAAACTGTGTTTAATGAATTATTTAAATTAAATTGTTGCATTTACTAAACTTCGTATAATAAACATTTACTAGCTTCGTAAAAAAACGTCACGAAAATTGCGCAACTTAGGCATGGAATTTTTCTATCCTAAATTTTCGTAAGGGACGAAGTAAGTAATGTTTATTTGAGAGATACTATACAGAGAAATGAAAATTTTATTATTATTGCATGTCAAGTACAAGTAGAAGATTTTTGAAAGTAAACAGTTATTAAATATTTTATAGAGGAGGTTATTCTGGCCGAAGAAAGAACAACAGAGGAAGAAAAAATGCACATAATAGAAGGTACTATTTAAAATTTAATTATATATTTAAAAAATCGTTTAATCCTGATCAATATTTTTTAAATTCAATATTTTTTAAAGGTATTTCGCTTTAAGAAATGCGTGAAACCCTAAATCGTTTTCAAAATGATCAATCTTTAACGTTATAGAACGTACTTTCGAAAAATGCAAAATGAGGCGAAAGTCAGATTTTTTCAAGCTAAATCAAAATAAAACATTTGTCAATTTTTAAATTTTGTTCGAAAAAACATGGTTTATCATTAATATGACGTTATTTTTAAATTACAGCTAGGAGAAGAAATGCTGCAAAAAGAAGGAAACTTAAAAACCTTGGAAAAAGTAAAAGCACAGATACGGAAGAAGAAGATGGTGATGATGATCCAGAAGATGGTAAGCAATTTTTTGTAAAAATGCACTTTTCTTTTTTTAAATATTTTTTAGATATTGTGTCGGATTTTTAATTAATTTGTCATCAAGCCTTAAAATTCATAGGTGAAGGTCCCTGGGATCTCGCTTTTGCGACTCTTGTCGTTAACGATCTTTTTGGCCTATTTATTCTTCTTTCTTGCGAGAATCTTTTTGAAATCCTCAAGGTCCGTCCTGAAGACTCTGCATCCTTTGCTGCCTGCGACATAACTGATGTTCGCCTTATCACCATATTTTTCTCTACATAAGAAAACAGCTTGGGCTTCTAATGCAGTTTGCAAACTTATGATCGACTTCATCTTATTTGAAGCACGCAGTCGATCTATCCGATGCCTTACAAACTATTCCTATGTTGTCGAAATCCAGACATCGGTGGCACCGAACGACCATCACGCTTCTTTTTATTGGGCAACACATAAAACCAATCCTTATGTGTTCCAATTTTTTCCAGCCTGTCCGCCTCCTCTGGAAAGGTGACTACATCCGCGAGTTTCATTCCTTGTCTTTCGGGTCCAAGGACCGTCACTTGCGTGCTTCCTGGATCACTTCCGACAACGTATGTTGGACCTTTTGTTCCTGGGTAAGGTAATCTAGGTTGCGGGTCTCCAGTGTGACCTGACGGTCTGTACCTTTCCTATGCTTTAAACAGCTTTGGTGACCTCAGGTGTGAATGCCTCCTTAATGGAGTCTTCTCCTATTTTAATCAGGAAATCTTCCTTTTTTGTAGAACTCGCACCAACGAACTGCGTGTGGCTTACGTCCGGATTCACTTTCCTCCGATGTTTACTGAGTACGTCGGCATACATTGTCCCTGTTGCGACTCGGAACACCATTGTAAATCCACTCGTTGCATTAACAGTTGGGGTGTGCTTTGTCTTCGCCTCACTGACAAGATCCTGAAGAGTCTTAAGTCTGTCCTTAATAGTCATGTTAGCATTCTTCTGGACTTCGCAAGGTTTAACCATATTGGCGATCTCCTCTTCGATCCTCTAAAGACACTTAGCTTCTTCCTGCCTAAGCTTAAACACTTCTGGTGTTCTTCTTCGATTGGTTTTCTAGGTCAGACGGAATTAAACTTCTTCCGCTGCTGACACTAAAAACGCTTAAAGCTTATCCTTTTCTACTTCCAAGTCTTTCCAAACGGATCTGGGAAACCTTAAGAAACTGGGTGCCCACATGGTCCATCCTCCTTGCGACATAGCATGCTGCAGTACTTAAGGTGTCTAATACTGCAGCACTATTAACACTGGATTTCGACTTTGAGAACCCAACTTGCTCTCTCAGCAGCGTTGACACTGGTATATGCCTCCCCTGCACTGTAAACGTCTTTACTCAAATGTTTACTTTCCATATCTCTTTTTCTCCTTACCTTACATCTTGGTTTTTCGATGTCCTTTACTGAAAAATCCCGCGCCCCACCACTACGACAAGGTAAAACTGTGTGGTTAATGTTTTGTTTACAAAAATTACGATTACAATTTACATAATTAACCTCTGATCTACTACTCTGTTTAATACAATTGTCAAAACAAAACTAAATGTTATTTTGTAACCTTTACCTAATATTCATTTATCATTACTATAAATTTTTCTTACTAAATATGTATTATAAGAATAAATTATAACTCCTCTTTGCATGTAACAATAATAATTTATTTAATTTTAGGGTTTACGAGAACTTCATACTTGAAGTCAAAAGTGAAAAATAAAGGTGCCTGTTTGGAATTCTGGCGTGCTGAGAAAAGATTTCGATTTTGGATAAGACATACAGTTAAGACCCAGGGTTTCTACTGGTTTGTCATTGTACTTGTCTTTTTCAATACAGCATGTGTAGCAGTCGAGCATTACGATCAGCCTGAATGGCTTACTGATTTTCTATGTAAGTTTTATATTTTTATTTTTTATGTATATTAAGCTGCCTAAAAATCAGTCATCTGTTGATTTCATGTAATAGCACCTTAAATTATTTTTCCATGACAGAAAATAGAGATGCAAATTTTTACTAAGGTAAAAGTTAAAAAGAATGCTCTATAATTATATAACATTACTTTTAAATTTAGCACAGTTAAAAGTTTTTTAAAATTAAAACTACCTGTACCTGAGAAGTCTTTGCCTCGACGTAAAAACTTAATTAAAAAAAGTAAATATTTTATAAATCAAGGGTAAGTTTAAGTTTTGAAATGTAAAGAAACTATGGTAATTTATTGGTATTTAACATCTAATAAAATTTTATCGATTAACTTCCCTCATTTGTTATTTATAAAAATCTATCATTAACTGAAAGAACATGATACAAAGAATTAAAGAAACGTAGATTGACTACTTTTTTTAGTACAACTTTAAAGTTGCCAGGTATAAACAAATGAGAAAGCGTTATTAATATAGCCTCATAAGTTATTGTATCGACTTTTTTATGAAATAAAAGGTTTTTTTTATTTCCAATGGTATTAGGTTGCATTAGACAAAATTGGACACATATCAGGTTGACTACATTTTTTATATAAAAGAACCCTATTTGCTATTGTTTAATCTATCCTTAAGTCGACGTCTATATTTTGTATATTAAAATTATTTTTATAATTATTACCCAAAAAACTGTTTTAACAAAAAGAAAAACTATTTTTATGTTTCAGATATTGCTGAGTTTGTATTCCTAGGCCTTTTCATGTTTGAAATGTTTGTCAAAATGTACGCACTCGGGCCACGTAATTATTTCGAGTCGAGCTTTAACCGATTTGACTGCGTTGTCATTTCGGGATCAATATTTGAGGTAATATGGTCTGCAGTCAAATCTGGCTCGTTCGGTTTCTCCGTCCTTCGTGCCCTTCGACTCCTGAGAATATTTAAAGTAACTAAGTACTGGGCCAGCCTTAGGAACCTTGTGATTTCACTGCTCAATTCAATGCGCAGCATCTTATCGCTCCTCTTTCTGCTCTTCCTATTTATTCTCATATTTGCCCTTCTTGGTATGCAGCTTTTTGGCGGTCAATTCAACTTTGATACTGGAACGCCGCCTACAAATTTCAACACTTTCCCCATTGCACTACTCACTGTCTTCCAAGTACGTATAAAAATAAAAATTTTATTAAACAAATTAACTTTTTTTTATTTTTAATTAATGGCTATTTTAATTATTTGATAGATTTTGACTGGTGAAGACTGGAATGAAGTTATGTATCAAGGCATTCAGTCTCAAGGTGGTCACAAAAAGGGAATGATATATTCTCTTTATTTCATAATTCTGGTTCTTTTTGGTAACTATACCCTGCTGAATGTATTCTTGGCTATCGCCGTTGACAATTTAGCCAATGCACAAGAATTAACTGCTGCGGAAGAAGAACAAGAGGAAGAGGACAAGGAGAAACAGAAACAAGAGCTTGAAAAAGAAATGGAGGCTTTACAAATGCCAGGAGACGGAACTAACCCAAAAGTAGAAATTTCTCCACCCAGTCCGTCGCAAAAATTGTAGGATATTTTTTATTTTAATATTAACTTTTAATTGTATAATGTCAACAGGGTGTTGTTAAATTTCACTATTTGTTTAATTAGTTATAAAATCTATTAGAGAAATTTTTATTCATATTAAGTCAAGAATACCTTCCTTGCTCCACTTGCATTCACTGAGAAGCTCCTCAACTGAATACAGAATTGCGCTTATCGTCGTGCTCAAGGCCGACTGGGATGCCTGGGTCCTTAAGGACTATAACTCCCGATCTTAAAATGAGCATATCTACCCCCTAACGAAAGAACTACCGGCATATTGAAACGGCGGCGATTTGGCAAGCCGCCTCGCTACCGATGCACCATGGGGAAAGAGGAGGGAAAAATTGCCGTTGTAAGGTCCTTAAGGACCAAAACGGCGAACAAGACCGGGTGCCCTTCCAGGAGGAGACGGTTAGCATTGATTCCCTTCGCCCGTGCAAGTAGAACTTGAGCAGAAGAAGGGAATCAAAGTACCCAGCGGGGACCTCGTGGAGGTTCCGTCTCCGAGCTAAGCTCCACCCACCGTTAGTCTGGTAGGTCACACACACACACTCATACAATAGGGTGCTTAATGAAATGGCGGAACGGTTAGTAACATTCATCTTGGACCCGATAACACCCCAACAGGAGTGGGCGTGAGTTAGGGAGGACAAGAATCCTGCACTTCCAACGGGGACCACGTGGAACATCCGCTCTCAGACCGCAGTCTAAAACCACAACAGTCTCACCCTGCACGGGGAGGGTCCCATTTCACATGGTGAACACCTGGCATGCGTAGTGCGTTTATACATCATCGATAATGTCCCATCTCAGCATCTCCGTCGAAGCGGTACTTAGCTAGATGGATACAACCCTCCGCACCCCTTTTAGTCGCCTTTTACGACATGCAGTGGGCTACAGGCGCCCTATTCTGAAGCCGGGAGCGCCACGGCGACCTCAACTACATACAGGTAGCCATGAGTGCGTTGTTTCCAGTTAGCCAGAGATGTTTCTCTAGGAGAGTCAGAAGACGACTGAGGAAAATGGTGCAAGTCGCCAGGAATATCACTGGCAACTAGATGACAATAAGTGGTGGGGAAAAAGAATGACACTACTAGTTACGCTGTATACTTAATCTCTCTTCGCCGAGCGACTATACTATGATACTTCTATTGTTAGACTACATAATTAGAAAACTGACCCTGTTGACTATGCAATAGAAGTTATTTTCTAAATAACATTAATAAAAAAATTGATTTTACACAAATTTCTTTCTTATTTTGTCTAACAGTAAAAGTGGAACTATTGGTAAACAGATTTCTGAAGAAAAGAAACAAAATGACGATGATGACACGGGACCAAAACCAATGCTGCCATATTCGTCTATGTTTATATTGTCTCCTACGAACCCGTAAGTAAATTTAATTCTTAAATGTATAAATTCTATCAATTTAATTTATATTACACACCCTCACAACAAAAAGATATCCTTACGATATCCTAAGGATATCGTAACCCTCAAGTGATAATTAGAATGAAAGAAACAAAATTGCTGCGAAGTTTAAAATTATATTATTTATATTGTTTTCTGTTTTTTTTCAGCGTAAGAAGAGGAGCACATTGGGTAGTAAATCTAAGATACTTTGACTTCTTCATCATGGTCGTAATCTCGCTTTCGAGTATTGCGTTGGCCGCAGAAGATCCAGTAGATGACGATTCTCAGAGGAATACCATCCTCAACTACTTTGATTACGCTTTTACTGGAGTATTTACAATAGAGATGATCCTTAAGGTTATCGATTTAGGAGTAATTCTTCATCCGGGATCGTATCTACGTGAATTTTGGAACGTGATGGATGCAATTGTTGTAATATGCGCTGCAGTATCTTTCGCGTTTGATATGAGTGGTAGTTCAGCGGGTCAAAATCTATCGACTATAAAATCATTACGTGTTCTTCGAGTATTAAGACCTCTTAAAACTATAAAACGAGTGCCGAAACTTAAAGCTGTGTTCGATTGCGTGGTAAATAGTTTAAAAAATGTCATTAACATTCTCATAGTGTATATATTATTTCAATTCATCTTTGCTGTGATAGCGGTGCAGCTATTTAACGGAAAATTCTTTTACTGTACAGACGAAAGTAAATACACAAAGGCGGAATGTCAGTAAGTATAATTATTTTTAATCTTTGTGTATTTGTAAAAGATATTAAGATTTTCTTTTTTTAATCAAATATCTGAATTTGCAGTAAGATCTAGAAAAATAATCTGTGAGTGACGTTTCATACAATTAAAATGTAACTTCACTTATAGGTAATTGTAAAACGTAGTAAAGGTTTCGAAACATTTCTGAAACTAAAACTAAAATAGTTTTCTTAATAATTAAATATTTGTAAAATAGTAATTAGAATTGTGGTGTTACAGGGGTCAATTCTTCATATTCGAAGATGATCGAATGATTCCTGAAGCTAAAGACCGAGAATGGCTTACGCAGAGTTTTCATTACGATAATGTTATGGCTGCGATGTTAACTTTATTTGCCGTACAAACGGGGGAGGGCTGGCCCCAAATCCTACAAAACTCGATGGCCGCTACGTACGAAGATCGAGGTCCTATTCAAAACTTTCGAATAGAAATGTCTATATTCTACATTGTATATTTTGTTGTATTTCCATTTTTCTTCGTCAACATCTTTGTGGCCTTGATTATCATCACTTTCCAGGAACAAGGGGAAGCAGAATTACAAGATGGAGAAATTGATAAAAATCAGGTAAAAACATTATTTTTATGTTGGATATATATATAATTATTAATAATCGTAGAAAAATTATAATTTAAAACAATTTTGATCGGACAAATTATTTCTTGACATATAAGCTAAAATTGTCTCTGCTTATATAATTTTTCAGTCAGGATTTGATTAGATTAGAACTCGTCTTCCTGGGTTAGACAATCCAAGTCGCGGATCTCCAATGTGACTTGTCGATCCACCTTTCCCATTCTTCTAATCACTTTGGTAACCTCAGCGGTGAATGCCTCCTTATTGGAGTCTCCTCCAGTTTTGATCAGAAAATCTCCCCTTCTTGTAGGCCTTGCGCTCACAACCTGTGTGTGGCTAAAATCCGGATTCGATTCCTTTCAAAGTACAGCTGAATCATTACACCAGTCAGTTCCTCACGGGAAATGGCAAGTTTTCATAGAAACTAAGTCAGGATTGAAAGCGGATCTGAGTTGTGAATGCAACGAACCGGCCGAGACAAGTGAAGACGTGTTGATGGATTTTCCTAAGTGTAACGAACTTAGAACGAACCTCAAACTGATGCATGAGCAACAAGACCTTAAATGGCCAGTTGAATTGAAGTTGCTGATGTACAAAGAGGCGTACGCACTGTTTGAATGCTTGGCAAGGGATTTAATCTGAGCCAAGCAAATTGAGGAGTAACTGGTTCACAACATCCTTCTAAGTTTGCCGTGTGGACATCGGTAGGAGAATAAGTCTAACGTTACCCTTTGCGTGTCGTAAAAGGCGATTAACAAGTAGGAAGGGGCGGTCAGGCTCAAGGATTGGCTAGAATTCTCAGATTGATACTCGCACCTGAGTCTAATGGTACCACGCGGATCGGGTGCCCACTTGGACTTGTGTTTGCTCTGGCAAAATACTTTCCTTGTTCCAGTCATCTGGTGCTGGGCTCGTGGTAGCAATAGATAAAAGCTCACATCGCTTAGAGCGAAATATTGGAGAAAAAGCTGATTCAAAAGTAATCAGATTTCTTCAAAACTGTCGACGTGTGAGTTGCGGCATAACTCAGGTTGTTAGGCATAGTTCCTAGGGATTGGAAAGATCCCACCCTAAGTCGAGGGTCCGTGTTGTTCTATCCTAACTATCGGAAAGCGATCACTTTAATTTTAAGTGAGAGTCAGTGCTGTAGTACGATGACTATGTTGAACGAATGTTTAAACGACAATATTCAGTGAGAGTCACGAATCAATTTGCAAACTTTCCGAAGAAAAGAGATAAGTTGAACGAGGGCTATTTTCCATAGGAGTCATACCTTTGGTAAGCCGATAGGCCAGGTGCAACAGACCCCATCTAACCTCTTTGTCGATAAAATCTTTAAAAACTGTAACGCAATTCTCGCTGTAGATCCACACGTCGTTTTCTTCTTATTATTTTATTAGGATTCGATGTTATCAATTAATTAAGACAGGACTCGGCATTACCAACAGTGAAGGTTAGATAGTAGAGTTATCTAATCACTTAAGGTAAGACTGGTTGGTGATGCAAAGTCTTATCTGAATTAATTGGATATCCTAATAATCTAACCTTTACTGGTTGGTCATAACAAGTCTTAATTCTCTGAAAACATTTTGGGGTAAGAGCTCTATGATATATTGATTGCCGATCACAATGTTTATTACTTTAGCAACCTTCAGACTTTTTTTGAGTTTAAGGGATGATGAGTATGGTAGTTTTTGACATGTTAGTTGTAACTAACATTGTTTTTCAGGAAATTTTAATATGTACTATATAACTTTATACTTATCATGTTTTTAACCTATTTTTGAAATGCAGGGTTGAAATTATTTGAAAATACTTTGTTTTTGCTTATCCCTCTTAGGCAGATTTTGTCCTATATTTTTTATATAGAATATCCTGCACAGAATTTTAAGTCAAACTTCTATTCTGATTTGTTTTTTAGAAATCCTGCATAGACTTTACAATACAAGCCCGTCCACTGGAGAGGTATATGCCTAAAGAGCGAAATAGTATGAAGTATAAAATATGGAGGATAGTAATGTCTACGCCTTTTGAGTACTTTATCATGATTTTGATTGTACTAAATACACTATTACTTATGATGAAGGTAAGCATTACATTATATATATTTCTTAAAATTTTTTATATTAATGCCTTAAAACGGAAACAAAGTATAAATATATAAGAAAGTATTTACCATTTTAAATATAATTGCTTCATTGAGTATTTAAAAACAAATGAAATGATATGGCACAAATAATTATCCAACAGATTTTGAAAGTATCTTTTAAGACATGTAATTAACGTAATAATTTTTAAATTTATTTGCTTTAGATGAATTTTATTTTCAGTAATATTTTATAAAAATTCTGAAAGTTTTATTATTACTTTTATATATAATATAGAATATTTTTGTGCTAGTAAATATTTTCTATATATTAATAAATAAGATGTGGTTTAGTAGATTTTTCTAGAATGTTAGAAATATTATAGTATTTTTGAAAATTCTGTAGCACTTAAGTCTATAAGTAGTTTGGTTCTCATCTTTACAATTTTATCGTAGTACCTTTAAATTTTTCTTAAAATAATCTATTTAGAACATTTTTTTTGCAAAGATGGTTTGATGTAGATAGCTATCTTTTCGTGTTTTGACTATCAGTAAAAGAGTTTAAAAGTTAACAACTCCTAAACATCTGCTGCAATAAACGAAGTGATTTCTTATTTTTATTTTGTAGAAAACAATAATGTTATAAGTATCTAATTAATAATTAACCAAATACGGATAAATAGGATATTAAAACAATTTTTTATGTTAAAGTGAAAACAAATAAGAAGAAGATCCAATTATCTGACACTTATTATTGGAATGTTTAAGGGTTGGTGTACAGGATAAAAATTAAGTGATTAATAAAAATTGTTTTTTTATAGAAAAATATTTGTTTCACCATATTCCAATAAAGAAGAATACGTTAATTGGGTCTTCTATCCTATGTGAAATTCTTTACGAGTTATACATGTGTAAATAATTACCGAAGTGACAAATCGCTTCAATAATCATATGATTGGAATACGTTATTTAAAGCCTACAACATACCAGTTTTTATTAGGTTTAAAATATAAATTTTTGCTTAACATTTCGCTACTATTTGTGTAACTACCCACCCAGGGGGAAAAGTCAGAGAAGTGGCATACAGTATTTAATATTTTTTACTAATAAATGCTTCAAATAGCTCTTATTTTATTTTTGAATGTTGTCTCTTTACTATGCAACTATTTTTATATATCTTTAAAATAGGGAATTAGTTTTATTCAACAAGATAATCTGACTAGTTTTTAAAAAGTGTCTGAGAATTTTGACCGAGTTGAAATTTCTATCTGCAATGTGAAATTCGGCCTACAATGAAAATTATAGGCAAAAGTCAAAAGAAGTTTTATCTTGAAGAATCTCCTCTTAGTTGAATTAAAGATAATACTCAAACAGACTAAACACAATTTTATCATATCAAAAGATGCCATATAATAAAAAAAAATATATTCATGTTATGTTCGCGAATAATATTTTATAATTATAAATACATTCTTCTTATATTGATATGAAATAATTCCATTGATGCAAATCACAGATTTTGTTTATACTTTTGTAATGTTCAGGGTGTTAAATACAGTAGAATCTTTCTAAGTGGGAGAAAAATAAACCCTAAACTTATTTAGAACACCTTGAACACTACCAAATTGATAAAGTATGAAGAAAACTTGTGATTCGTCTGTGCACTAAGCCTTAGAACTCTCCTAATGTTAATTAAAAAAACAAACGAATAAAAAATTAAATTAATATTACTCAATTTAAAATTAAACAGTAAGTCAAAATGTTTTGCTCTTATTTTATTAATTTTTAAAACATATTTTTATCACGCCACATGTACAACCGTAATGTAACACATTGTTTCGCACTTAATGATTATATTGCACGTTTTTTCTAACTGTAAGCAAATATAAGCTTAACTACAGTAATATATTTACTACACTTTTAGTTTTATATTTTCATTGTTGTTTTTTATGCTGTTTAGTTGCTTTTTACTAATTGTTGAATCACAATGTACCAAAGAACCACATATAACACAAACAGGAACTACATTAACACATTAAAAAAATGTAATAACTGTTGGAAAATTGCTAACAGTGTAGAATAATTTAATAATTAAATTTTTAAAAAAACTTACAAAAAATAATAATTTGCTGCCATAAGTTTATCAGAAAACAATTAAAAATATGTTTTTCATTCTATACAAACTTAATAAAAAATATAATTTTTCTTTTTACAGCAAGAGATATTGTAAAAAATTTTATTTTATTGTAAAATAATATTATATTTGACGTTCCGTGACAAAAGTTACCTAAAATCCAAAAAAAACTTCAGCTTGTAATATGCCTAATGGACTCCTTATCGCCAATTATTTCTCTACATAAAAAACAGTTTGGGGTTCTACTGCAGTTTGCAAACTTATGATCGAATTCACCGAACTTGAAGCACGCGGTCGATCTGCCCGTTGCCTTTCATACTTTTCCTATGTCGCCGTACGTCAGACTTCGGTAGCGCCGAACGATCATCAGCCTTTTATTAGGAAACACATAAAGCTAATCTTTACACGTTCCGATTTCTCCAGTCTGTCCGCCTTCTCTAGGTCTGTGACTAAAACCGCGAGCTTCATTGGCTTCAAGGACCGTCACCTTTTTGCTTCCTGGCTTTTGGAGCATTTCCTCTAACTCCTGTTAGACCTTTTCTTCATAGGTAAGACAATCTAGGTTGCGGATCTCCAGTGTAACCTGTTGATCCACTGTTTGCATCATTCTCATGCTTCCAAACGCTTTGGTGACCTCAACGGTGAATGCCTCTTTATTGGTGACTTCGATTTTGATCAGGATATCTCCCCTTCTTGTAGTCCTTGCACCCACGACCTGCGTGTGAATGACGTCCGGATTCACTGTCCTCTGAAGTTTGCTCAGTACGTCGTCATACGTTGTTCCTGTTGCGACTCTGATCACCTTTGTAGATCCACTCTTTGCTTTCGTTTTACTGGTTTGCTTAGTATTCGGTGCTACCGTTACCTTCGCAATCTTTGGGCAAGAGGTGTCTCCTCTTGCTTTTTTTTCTTCTTCGTTCTCTCTCCACTGCCAGATCTTTTTGTTCGTTTCTACGTCTCAATGATTGCGCGCCAAAGCCGCTTCTCATAGGTAATTCTCTTTCCTGTTCCTCTCTTCCCGGTAAACCTCCTTGTACCCTATAGCGCCACCAAGGTTGCTATCTCCATTATCAGCTAGGACGTGTTTTGTCTTTACCTCACTGACAAGCTCCTGAAGGGTCTTAAGTCCGTCCTTAATAGTCATGTTAACATTCCTCTGCACTTTGCAAGACTTTACCATCTTGGTGATCTCCACTTCGATCCTCTGAAGACACTCAGTTTCCTCCTGCCTAAACTAAAAATACTTCTCGCGTTCTTTTTCGATTGTCTCGTTGTCTAGGATAGACGGAATCAAACATCTTCCGCTATCTGACAGTAGAAACTCCTAAAGCTATTCCTTTTCTATTTCCAAGTCTTTCTAAGAATTTGGGAAACCTTAAGAAATTTGGTGCCTTATGGTCTATCCTTCCTGTGGCATTGGATGCTCCAGTACGCAAGGTGTCCAATACTGCAGCACTGTTGTCACTGCTAGCGTTAAATTCACTTATTTGATGAGTATAAACACTTTACAGAAAACTACTAATATAATTATTGAAAAGCTGTTGAGTTACTCATTCCTCAATGAAACATCACAGTATTGTTTATTCAGTGAAATTTTCACTGATAGAAATTTAGAGAATAGATCATCATCTTTTGTGATAAATGAACAATTTGTTACCGTATTAATCTATTGTATTCAATTTTGATATTAAAATTTATAAATGTAATACCGAATATCCAATCAATATTTTTACAATATCTCCTAAAAATATATTTTTCATAAATAAAATAAAAATACAAAAGTAAAAAGAAAAATTAATTAAATTTGTATTTCTGTTTTTTGACCATTAAATATAATAAATTTTTAATTATTATTAATGATATTATATAGTTTTATATGTACGTAAGTTTTTATGTCTGCCGAGTGTCTGTCAGTGTATACATTACAGTACCACCGGCAGAGTGACCTGTACAAGAATACATTGAAGTACATGAACATGTGTTTCACGGGGATGTTCACCATCGAATGCATTTTGAAGATTGCTGCTTTTGGTGTCAGGGTAAGATCTATAAAAACAACAGTGTACAATTTTTGCTCAATGACTTTAAATACAGGAGTATTATTATTCAAGGATTACGTGACATATTTTTTAGTAAATTTTTTACTTACTCTATAATGTAAATGTTTTAGTAAGAAATTATATAAAGTTTTTTTTTATAGAAAATGTCATGTAAACTATTTCTCTTTCAATATATTGCTTCTCTCATTGCAGATAGAATTTAAAGTACATACATACTTATAAACATTGATTTACAAAGACTGACCCTTATACAACACGAGATATACTACTACTTGATCATAACTTGTCTATGAGTACAAACATTATTTTTTATAAAAATTATTTATTTTACAAAAACATATAATTACGTTTGCACTGTCAACATAGTATATTTAATTTAGCAATATTGTTACTATTATTTTGTCCTTTTATCTGTGTGTCCTTACTTTCAGGTTAAAAAAAAGTAAAGCCTAAAAGTAAGTTGAGTACTCTTAGAATACTTCACGGAAATATTATTTGCTATATTTTAAGTGTGTTTTGAGATGTGTCATGGCCGAAAATACATTTGTTTTCGTTGCCACCACTTCCTTACTCTTTTACACTAAATCTACACTACCCTATTGTCTTCATCAGCTGTGATGCACGGAATCAGTATATTTTGGTACACTTTTTGCACCTACTGTTGAGTTTGTGTAAAAGTGTACACTTTTTACGGCAAAAAAAATCAAAACCTTATATAAAACATATATGGATAGAGTAATAGCAATCGCACAAAACTTAAACAAATAAAGAATTTAACTGGACAGACGCTTTGATTTTTATCTAAGAACAATTTTTAACATTTTGATTATGGTTAACAAATACTTTTTTTGTAATACGTGTGCATCTAAAAAGAGGTGACCAGTTAAATACAAAATTGTTAAGGGATGTACACAAATTGTAACTCGAAAAAAGGATTTTTTTAAAAATGTTTTCTGAAGGGGTTTCACCACTGTAAGAGGCTGAAATTTAAATTTTTTTTGCTATTTTTTTTATTTAAGGAGAAATAGGAATATAATTAAATTGAAGAATATTGTTAGACATATTTTTATGTTTGTAAAAATATTTTTTTTACACTGAGAAAAGAAAAGCACGGAATCTGAAATGGAGAAGTTCAGCATCTGTACACCAAGTTGAGCGCAGCAGCAGCGTCACTGTATGATGGATGCCGTACTAAAATGTGAAACGGATGTTGTGCTTGGCTTGAGTACAGATACTGTACTTCACCGAGGACGAATGCTTAATTAAATTAATCGTTTAATAGACTCAAGTATATAGTCAATATTTTTAAAAATAATATGTATATTTTTTATTTACTTTATTCATACATTTTAAAATTTCTTACAAAAAATTGAACCTATATTTTTGAAAAATAAATAATTAATAATAATAATCTTTACGATAATGACATTTTAATTCAAAAAAATTTTCTTTTTAATAATAATTAAAACTGTTTAATTTTATACTTTATTTATTTTTATTCATTGAAGTATTTTTATTATTAACTATTTATTATTATTATTTATTATTGCATTAGTTTTGCGGTTATGAATTTTAAAAATAACATATTTTTTATTTACTTTATTCATAGATTTTAAAATTTCTTATAAAAAATTGAACCTATATTTTTGAAAAATAAATAATAATAATAATGAGCTGTACGATAATGATATTTTAATTTAAAAAAATTTTCTTTTAAATAATAACTAATACCGTTTTGATTTTATAATCAAGCACAGATATGGAACTGTCTAGAAGTACAGTATCTGTCGTTTGCTATGAGACAGATTCTGTATAACTTAGTTGACACCGCTACCGCGCTGCTAGAGCATAGTATCTGAACTATGAACGACACTAACTGAACAAAACTAAAGAACGGATACTGACACCCATTTTACACGGCCGGCGATCGTCACAGTACGGATTCTGTGCTTTTTTTGATTTTTTGAAAATTCTACTGTGGTGTAACCCTTTAATAAACCATGAATTTTTTTGAAAAATATTATTTAATACCTAAAAGTACATGTCTAGAACTTCAATTAACAACAACGATTTTTTTATCAAAAGCTTTATGTGTAATGAATCTGTGACATCAAACTCAGTGCTGTCGGTCTGTTTTATTATTTTGCTTTAATGACTACTTAATAATGGGGTCCTTCAAGTTATTGTTTAAGTTTTATTAAAATCTATAAACAGTGCAAAACACTCCTGAGGACTGCACTGTTCATGAGTCTATAATCATAGACTCTCTACGTATTTTGGGGCACTGAACACGAATCCAAAGTCAGATTTGTTTCATCTTATTAAAAAGAATTTCTAAGCTCATAATACATGTTGGATGTTGATTCTAAAATTTATTCTTTTGCAGTCGCAGACATCTCTCGACTGTCATTGTTAAGTCAATGATCTTCCATTTCTAAAAAAATTGCGGTACCTATTCTTATGGAAATATTAAATTTCTATTATTTAATTATTAAAAATATAAAACAGAAAAGTATTATTAGAAAATACAATATATTACTACATTATAATTATAAAACTATAATTTAGAAATAAAATTTTATAAATTTTGACTGCTAATATTGAACCAATATTAGACAGCTATGGCTTGACAAGGATCGATGACAATCATGAGTCTTGGCGATTTCTCACTGGGTGATTACTAGGGTACTATTAATTTCCATCTCGGGGTGAGGAAAAAATTAACAACTCTTGTAGAAATTGAAAGATTTGTTCCAATGATGGCTAGAAACACCTTACTCGATATGGACCAGACCTGGGAAGCGTTGAAATGAAGCTTCCTTTTGTGTACCAGATCGGGTAAGGAATTTTATGCCAATCTCAGGGATTCCAGATTTGGCTACGGTTTGGGCCATGGCAAAATTCCAACACGGGTTATTTAATAGGTGGTTCCCCAAGCTACTAACGAAACTTATACAACGAATAGTTTTAATGATAGATTGAAAAAACTAATTATTTTATTTATATATTAGAATTTATTAAAAGAATTGTAATAATTATTATTTAAAGAAACTAATAAATATTTCTAACAATTCTAAGTAAACTCTAAACTACATCCTATATTAATATATCAAACATTAATTTTATATAAAGTGAAATTTTCGATGAGATTGAAATTAAAATTTTTTGTTTTTGTTTAAAGTTATTTAAGATTGCATGTAATTCCACTTCACAATTAAAAAAAAATCACTTTAGTTATGATTTCGAAAGTTAATTCTTTTCGGAATCGTTCTTTGTTATAAAAAGTGTACGTACTAAATAAAAAAATTTCGTCGGTATATTACTTTTTGTTTGTTGGGTATATTTTGTAGTATCACGAGGCGCCTTCTATTCTATTGGACAGCTTGACCATTGTCAACTTGATCGTCACGTTACTTTTCCTCATAGAGTGCATTCTTAAACTCATCGCTTTTGGATGCAAGGTACAAAAAGGCCTTTAAACATTACTTCCTTTCACTTGTACGTGTAATAGAATAATTTTACACATTGCAATATTAAAATTGTTAACCTAGATACATTTAACGTTATTAAAATACTGACATATACTACAAAAAATTTTTTTTTTAATTTAGTTACAATTAGTTGAAGTACATTTTTACAATATTTATATACAACAAAGGTAAAGATTAATTTTTTTATATAATTGAATTTCTAGTAATACCAGGAGTATTCTTGTCGCCACCAATAAGGCGCGGATCGCCTTTACTCTAAATAAACGGATCTTGTATTGTATTATTTAGAATTTATTAAAATATATTGTACTTACAATGTCGTCACCTAATCCAAACACATGTCTCCTACTGGTCTTTAACTTTCTCGCACTATCGACTCGAAAAATCGAACTAGCTGTTTTTTCCCACATTATTTCCAAAGTAATTAGTCCTACCCCATCTTTACGGCTACGCCAGCAAGCCTTCTAATGACTGGCCTTAACAAAGGCTAACTAACAATAATAAATAAGCAGGTAATAATGATAAACTGACCTGAAGGACCCCATCAAAACAAACCTTAATTCTGTATCAACGAAAACTTTATTTTATCCATCTAAAAATTGTAACTTCCGGTCAATCGACGCTTCTAAAAATATTCATACTTTCAGTAAATAAAGTATCGCGCATAATCCCGGTAATATTGAAATTTATATATAATCTAAATAAAATTTATAACACACATAAATTGAAACGCAAGAAAATATGAACTTTAAATTAATATAAATTTATTATAACGGTAACAGATATCCTAATTCAATATTGATTCTACAAATCCAATATATTGTGAAATATAGGGCGTACATAATGAACTATTTTTAAATCTAGATATTTTATTTAATATCGAAATTCGTTAGTATCGTTTGAAAATCTAAACTTTTATTTAAAATTTTACTACGGAGACAACCAAGCGTACAAATCGTTATTAATTATACTTAATTAATGATTGTGTGTGTGTTCCTCTCCTGCCAAAAGAGTGATACAAGATGAGACTGGTCAGAAGACATTTGAAAGTACTTTAACGATAGTTTTACAGGAATGTTAGATTAACATACAATTTCAATAAGTAAATTAAAAATAAAGCATATAAAATCTGTAATTTTTAGTTCCGAAACGCATTAAATTGAAACTTAAACAGTACTATTGTCAAGTAATCGATTTGTTTCTTGGGGAAAATCTGCATAATCCTTGGTTCTTGTTCTGGTCGACCCACTAAAATCCACACCCTTTGGTTAAACTAATCCTCACACTACGGAACTACCGTCAAGCTTCAAACTTTGTAGGTGAAGGTCCCTGGGATCTCACTATCGCGTCCCTTATCGTTTTCGACTTTCTGGCCTATTTGTTCTCCGTTCGTGCTAAAGCCTTTTGGAACTCATCAACGGCTGATGAGTTCTGAGGACTCCGTTGCCTGCGATATAACTAATATTAGCCTTATCGACATATATAAGAAGTAACTTGGGTTTGTACTGCAGTTTGCAAACTTATGATCGACTTCACCGCACTTGAAGCACGCAATCGGGAAACACTTAATGCCAATTCTTATGCGTCCCAATTTCTCCAGCCTGTCCGCGTCTTTTGGGTCGGTTACTACAACCATAAACTTCATTTTTCGTCGGTTGGGTCCTAGTGCCGTCACCTTTCTGCTTCCTGGCTTCTGGAGCATTTTCTCTAAGGCGTATTGAACCTCTTATTCCTAGATAAAGCAATTTAGGTCACAGATCTCCAGTGTGACCTGTCGATTCACGGTTTGCACCTTCTTCATGCTTTCAACAATTTTGAAGACCTCAGGGGTGAATGCCTCCTTATTGGTGACTCCGATTTTGATCAGGAGATCACCCCTTCTTGTAGTATTTGCTCCCATGACCTGCGTGTGGCTGACATCCAGATTCACTTCCCTCCGAACTTTACTTAGTCCGTCGTCATACGTTGTTTCTGTTGCGACTCAGATCGCCTTTGTAGATCCACTCGTTGTTTTTAGGGTTTCGTGGCCCAGGCCTGAAAGCCTTATAGCGAGACTCGGGCGTCCGTTCGTAGTTCTTAAGTCATGTTTTCAGTCTCAATTCTTAGTTTTTATGTTTTATGACTTAAAACCTATGACTTAAGACTTATGTTTAAGTCTTAAGCATAAGTAATAATTCTGATCCTTAAGTCTGCTTGAGCAAAAGACTAAATGATGTAGACGCTTTGCGCCTGCTTCTCGAACTGATTTTTTTCTTACTGGTTTGCTTAGGATTCGGTGCTACCGTCGCCTTAGAAATCTTTTCGACAAGGAGTACCTCCTCTTGGTTCTTTTTCTTCTCCTTGCAAATTTCCTTGGAAATTGAGTGGATTTCACTCAATGAATTAGCGACAAAATTTTTCCATCTTGACGGATGAATTTGAAGCCAAGACAGAACGATTTGCTGATCAGACCAGTAGTATACTGATTTAATTAAAGGTAGTAGTTTTGCAATGACGATGGCTGATAGTTGAACTACAAGATGAGCTGTACATAGTTCCAATTTAGGAATTAAGATCACATGTTTAGTTTTCGAAATCAAAAATAGGAATGAGCAATATCAGCCGATGGATTCAACTCTAAATCAATACTTTCTACATTTATCTAAAATGACCATAATATACATCACACATACAATGCATTTTTATAATTATTTTAAATAAATAAAAATGTTGACATATAGTTATGATATACACGAATATTTATGTACACATACTGTCTTTTCGAAATATGTATTTTTGACGAAATTAAATATTAACTATTTTTTAGTACAATAATTTTTAAATATGTGTATTCGAGTAGTATTTAGTCCTTGATATCCTGATTTAACAGTTTTATATAGAAAAAAGACCAGCTATTCGGACTATTTCTACTCGAGCAAAAATTAATTTTAACTAATCTGCTCTCAAAGTTGCGCCTGTAAGGTTAACTTTAATTCAAGGTTAAGTAAATAAAATAAATTTAAAACTGATTTTTTTTAATTACTTTGAGAGCAGAATTTAAAAAATTATAAATGTAACATTAACTAACATTTGTTTTTGTTTTTTTCGGATAGAATTTTTTCAAGGATCCATGGAATACATTTGACTTCATCACAGTCATCGGCAGCATCGTGGACGCCTTAGTAATTGAATTTGGGGTATGTAAAACTGAATTTTGTTTCTAAAAATAATTTATAATAGTTAGTTAATTGAAAAATTATCTCTAATTCCGTTTATCAATTAAAAACTGGTTCTAACTTTGTACTATCTATTTTTCCCTTTTATTAACTAGGACATATCTTGGAAGTGTATCTAATTACAAATGTTTTTCGATTCGACTCTAGCCTGGTTCTAACTAGGGTGTCTACTTTGAACCAATGAGACTAAATACTAACTATTCAGACAGAATTCAAATACTAAATTGTATTTATAAACTACAACTAAAACAAATTAATATTTATTAAACAGAGCATAATAACCAATAGTTATTGACAGTATATTTCTTTCATCAAATTTTAATATCAAAATTAAAAATTTTATTTTAAATATTTCTGAGATATATAATCAAAATAACTTCTCTAGTTAGGGACAAATTAGGCCTAGTATTGAACATATTAATAGTAATAGAGTGAAGATATTAATAAACTAAAAATGAAAAATAATATAAAAACTAATATATGTAATTAATGTGCCAGGAGATAAAAAAAACTTAGATCATTTAATAAAAAACAATGGAAAACAATCTCTAATGTACTAAGCAATGATACTCTGAGTGATAATATTATTCCGTTAGCTTGTTTTAATCTAAATTCTACATTATGAAAATTCTGTTTTAAATAATGAGCAATAATTTTTGATAATACACGTTAAGCCAAAGTGTATCACATAACATGTGAACCATTGATTTAAAAGTCTTTTTTTTAATTAGGAACGCTTAGCGCGTCTCTCAGATAATGAAAACCTTGATCGGGTAAGTAATTTAATTTCGCGTAAAACTGTGACTTATTTCAATTCGTTAGTAAACTGTTTTTAGAAAAAGTAGCACAACTTCATGATGCTAGAAAATATATTTAAAAAATTTAAAAAGTAATTCTTTGTATGCTATTTCAGTGTTATTAGTGTGTATTAGTATCAGATAATATAATTCCTCTCAAATAACACAATATATATCCACAATATTGCATAAATATTACTCTTCAAAATATGTTATATTAATTCAAAATTAGGACTATATATTGTGCTATTTGAAAATGTATTAATTTATTTAGGTTTATTGTTTTCTTTCAAATGTAAATACTAGGTATATCTTAAATTACAATATATAAAACAATACTATATGACACGTAGTTTTAAAATATATTAGTCATTTCATAGTTTTTTTTATATCAAATTACAATTTTTAGTTAAAATAATCGAGATATTTTTAACAACTCTATCAAATGAAAATTCGGATTAGTAAAACTTAGATCAAATGGAGTAACGTGAAATAGAAATTCTCTTAATTTAAAATTTAGAAAACAATAATTTTACTGAATATAATTTTGATCATTTTTAATTCGTCACCATAAAATTCCCAACAAGCCTAATTTGGGAAATAACAATGCGTTCCATCCGTAGGATAATTTTAGGATATCCGATACATAATATGTATATCCGAACAGCAGATGGAAATACTGAATACCCGGATATTATTGTAACTACATTCGGAACTGAAATTTTACCTTTGGGAGTTCCATTGTAGCTTCGATTATTACACATTTCTTTAGCAGAAACTCAACACAAACAATAAATGTTCTACTCTTCGAACACGTTAATGCGTCTTTATCTAACAAGACCTTTAATATGCACTTGAATTTGTATGACATTAATGAAAATAGATTTTTAATTTTAAAATTGAATATATAATATAATATCTTATGATTTCAAGAATATTTCAAAGGAAAGGTATAAAGTTTTCGAAGATAATGCAGTTTATTGTCCTCGCTTATACCGATATGCAGCAGATTCAAAATTTCTAAATTAGACATCCTTTTACTAATTTCACGATTTCTCAGCTATTTCATAACAAAATTTAATAATATTTAGTTGTCAAATAAAAAAATAATGCCTCTTAATTACGATAGGAATTTTCGTAAATCGTAATTATTATTTTTTAATTGACACCACATAATTCCAATCCTTATGTATCCCAATTTCTTCATCCTGTCCGTTTCTTCTGGATCAGTGATTACAACCGCCAGCTTCATTCCTCGTCGGTTGGGTTCTAGGACGGTCAACTTCCAGCTTCCTGGAGTACTTCCTCAAACGCCTGTTGGACCTCTTCTGCCTAAGTAAGGCTATCCAGGTCGCGGATCTTCAGTGTGACCTGTCGATCTATGGTCTGAATCTCCCCCATACTTCCAAACGCTTTGGTAACCTCAGCGGTGAATGCCTCCTTATTGGAGTCTCCTCTGATTTTGATTAGGAGATCTTCTTTTGTTGTGCGTTCTTGGTTCACCACCGCATTGCCTATAGCGTCACCAAGGTTGCTATCTCTATTATCTGCTAGGATGTGCTTTATCCTCGTGTCACTGACAAGATCCTGAAGAGTCTTAACTCTGTCCCTAATAGTCATGTTGACATTCTTCTGGACTTCGCAAAACTTTACCATCTTGGCGATCTCCTGAAGACAATCAGCTGCCTTCTGTCTAAGCTTTAAACACTTCTCGCGTTCTATTTCAATTGTCTTCTTGCCTAGGTCAGACGCAATCAAACTTCTCCTGCTGCTGACACTAAAAAACGCTTGAAGCGCTACCTCTTCTACCTCCAATTCTTTCCAAATAGACCAGGGGAACTTTAGGAAACTGGATGCCTCCATGGTCGATCCTTCTTGTGGCATTCGATGCTGCAGTACTCAAGATGGCCCAATTTAAATTTTTTTACTCTGCTGTGTATAACTATGAGTGATGACAACAAACTGCAATATCTCCGAATATTTTGCCCCACTAAAAATTCCTACAAAGACTCCTATATGGTTTTCCACATACAAACTCATGTTTCTACATAAGAGTCCACATCGATTGCCACATGGGAGCTTATGTGGGAATTTTCAATAGAGCAGCAAATCATTTCGATACTAGGCATCATCAATTTTATTATCAAAACATATACTTCTATTGTGAGGCGCTAATACTGGAAAATTAAATATTAATCTTTTTATAGTTTCAAACATAAATCTTTTTTTAGGGAAAAATAGCTGCACTCTTCAATGTGAAGTGCACAAAAATCGATATGCAAACCAAACAATGTAAGGTAATGTCGACATTTTATAACTAAAAGTTTCGCTGGCAATTGCTTTTTAAAGCATTATTTTCATTCTCTTGTCTTAAAATGTTTGTGCGACAGTAAACACAACACATCACTCAATACGTCAATAAAAAGTATGTACTAGACTTTTTAAGCATAGAGTTTGAAAATAATTAACAATAGCAAAAAGCGCTTCACTTACGAAAATAGAAATGCTATAATTATTTCTATTTAAATAATTTTAGGGATTACATTATGAAAATTTGTCATTCTTTTTTCAAATGAAATTAATTAAGAAATTTTTATATCTATCAAATGAATAAGTAACATGTAATACAAGACATAACATGGATTAATGTTTAAACTTCAGTTTTCTTGAAATTTACACTGTTAAAAATTAGGCTTCGACTTTACACTAGAAAGACTGAAGTTTCAAGCTCGAAAAGTGCGAATGTTTTTATTTCATTGGCTTAAAGTTTTTTGTCCAACCAATTACATGCTAACATTTACACTTTTCGAGATTGAAAAAATATTATTTCAATCTTTTTAGTGTAAAGTTGAAGCACGATTTTTAGCAGTGTACATTGCGCTTGGCTTTTAATGATAAAGACGCATCACTAAACATTTCAACAGCTTCAACATCAATACACATACCAAGCGTAGTAATCTTTACTAACTATTACGGCAGACTGATATTACTGGTTTCATACCAGAACGAAATAATTACGTATGAACGGTATTAGTATGATAACAGAATATCGAACTATCGGAATTATAAAATATAAGTACTCGATGACAATCAAGCTAGTTATTTTTGATATATAGAAATAAGTAATATAATTTTTTCTGTTTATTTAAAATCAAGAAAACATCATTTAATAGTTCCAGGAATATAATAATTTTGAAAAATGCAAAATCTGAAAAAAACCAACAAAAACCAAATTATTTAATTCTCAGTTGCCCAGTCAAAAATTTTAATTTTATAAATTTTTCATCATAATACTAAAATAAGTTTCATATAACCCATAAGATTTGTGTTTTACAAATAGAGTAGTTTTAACAGAATGAAGCTTTAGTTATTTTATAGTTGTTATTTAACTTTTTATTGTTTGCTGATTTCATATTTTAAACATTTATAATGTTATACTTAATTTGATAATTTGGAGGTGTGTATATATTGTAACGTTATTCTCTCTCTCTCTCTCTCTCTCTCTCTCTATGAATTTCCTATATTCCCGTCGAACATGTGCTCAACGGATAATTCCATTACCCTAATCCACGTTGACTGTTTCGAAATGTCAACTCTACCCGGACTAGCTCGACTTACCGCGAGTTTACACTTTACGAAACATTTATTATATTCTCAGGACAAGAGTTTCACACACACACAGGCGAGAGAGACACATTACACTGATTTAAATAGATTAAACACTGGAAACAAAATAATTTTTTCTATAAATTATTTCTCGTTTATTTAATACTTTTTAATTTTAATCTAGAGAAATCCACACTACTCTACGGTGAGATCAGCCGGTGAGAATAAGTTGGCGTCTTTCTTCCATGCCATGCGATCGACCAATATTCCCTCGGTTTTTTGATAATTCCGCAAATGAATGGACCACAAACATGCCAAATGGAAGAAAGAAACTGCTCACAAACCTTTTATCTTGTTTAGAATTTTTTGATATTCCATTTTCTAACGGTTACACCGATCAAATAATTTACAAAATTAAGAAATTCTTTTTTCTAATGTAAGCGGGAGAGTAGCCAAACTCGAACTGATTTGCAACAGCAGGGTCTTCTGACCCAGTGACCTGCGCAATGCGTGTGGCCCTTACTGAGGGTTGACATCATCAGTTTACAATAATTTAGTTTTTGGCAAAATCCTTGAAAACTGACTTTGAATGAGGTAATTAAATTACCACGTTACAATATATACCCCCTAAGCATCCTATTAAGTTATTTAATGTTTTTATGAGTTATGAAGCTGCTAAATTCAGTTGAGTGTTTAGATAGAAAAACTTGCTATGCATAATAATTATTACAGTAAATCTTGACACAACCCTAAGAGTAAGAATTACGATCTTTGATTTATTAAAAGATAAAAATAATATTAATAAAACTCAAAATTTATTTTGAAATAAAGTCTCATACTTGCTCTATAGTTTGAGTCTAGAATTACAGCCACTAAAAGCTTAGAAAGAGAATTCAGATATATGGTACATTTGTGCAATCACAAATCTTGTTTTTCAAATCAAATTAATTTAATAAAGATGTCATAAAGCATGCATCTGAATTCCTTTGGAATATTATGCTTGTCAAGTCGTGACTTAGGAGGAGAATAACGTTCCAAACAAAATTGTAAAAATAATACAATTTCAAATGACGTTTAAACATTATTTGAACATAATTTGAAATGACATTGTTTTTATAACTTTTTCGAAACTATAATTCTGCTCCCAAAATACGAAGTTCTCTCATCCAGAAAATAAAATGACTGAGATATTTCGTTTAGTGATAGTTTTATCATACGATAACAATTAAGAAAATTTTTTATAGCTTCGTTCGTGCATACGATCAGTTTCAATGCAACATGTAGAACATTTTGCAATAGTGTTCTACATGTAAGCAAAATAGATACGTTGCACGCACGAAGTTCCATTTCATTAAATTAGAACAAATCGTTATACTTTGTTTAATTAAAGTGCAATTTTCTTTGTTCCCTGCAGGAGAACTTCATCAATGTTGGATTTTTAAGGCTATTTCGTGCTGCGAGACTCATAAAACTTCTCAGACAGGGATACACAATACGAATCTTGTTGTGGACCTTCGTTCAATCCTTTAAGGTATGAGTAAACTTATGTTAAAAATTTTTTAGTGACTTTATGTCAGGTGTGCATTTCGCAACACTAAAATCTTCCGAATTTTATAAACGATTTGATTAAAATTTTTTTATACATATATTGAATCTAACATTTTTAATTTTGAAAATTTTTTAATTAGATTCGTATTTAGAGACCACAAAAACTCAGAGTGGATTATTTCAAGTTACTTTGTGCATTTTTAGGATATAGGGGAGAATCAGTACGGTTGGGTCACGTTTTGACTTGTGGTCATAACTTCGGTTCGAAACCGAATTTCGGTTTTTTTCACGTATGGTTGGGAGAATATTTTCAAGGTGCAACATTTTCTCTGAGCAACAGAAAATGATTGGACCAAAAGTATAAAAGTTAAAGGCATTTCAAAAAAATAAATTTTGTCATTATGGTCAGACAAGGGCATTACGTATGGTCCACTGTACAAAATCAATGTTATATGAAGGAAAATAATTAAAAATAGACCTCCACAGAAAAAACGTAGTATTATTTTCATCCCTAAATCTGTATAATATTTGCCTGCAACAAATTTTACCCTAATTGAGGGCGCCACCGTCTATGTGAACTAGCATTTGTTAAAATAGTATTTTTTTCACAATAAAGTTTATGCATGTACTACGTCAAGCAAATCAAACTTCCTGCGGTTGGTTTTACTATTTCTTTTCGAAGTTGGTCTGAAAATTCAAGAAAAATGACAAAAATTAATAATATTTAAATTTTTCCAATAAAATGGCCCAACCAACACTACATTTATTCGCCCAACCATCACTATTACATCGTTTTACTTTTTTATTACACAGATAAAAAACGCATGATACAAACATCAAATAAGGCACCACATTTACAAAGAACACTCTTACGAACAAACTTAGTCAACTTACTTTATTGTTTGCATCTTCTTCTTTTGTTCAATTCACTTTTTCGGACACCACAAACAAATTTTACTTTTAATCTTTAGCGTACTTTTACAAAACACGTCTGTACAAATTGCGCATTTCAGTGAGACTTACTAAAAGTGACGTGAAAAGTTTATTACCATCGCTAGTAAGTATTTGCATGCAAAGGTAGATGGCGCTAGTTTGAAAAGGGCTTTAAACGCAATACTGGCCCAACCGTAAAGGTGGCCTAACCGTACTGACTCTCCCCTACCAAATTTTTATTTCAACATTTCTTTTATAGCTTCAGTAATTTCTTTAAGTGAACAATAGTTCCATAAAACTATCCCTCGGTTGCGCTTCTATTACATGTTACTAATTATATTTTCTTTATTGTGTTTTTTAGGCACTACCATACGTTTGTTTACTGATAGCAATGTTGTTTTTCATCTACGCAATTATCGGAATGCAGGTATGTCTTTCTTATGATAACTAAATTAATTTTTTTTTGTTTAATTTTATATTATAATTATCTGCACTGGAACTTCTAACCGTTACAAAGCGATGAAACTTATATACTAGGCATTGAGGTTTTCATTGACGTCATTTTTAATTTCGAAAGTATTAAAACACACACAGTTATATGAAAGCTTGTGGCAAACTTTTCTTGAAAGGTTGTCGAACATACTCGAGAAGCCTTGCTAAAGCTTGCCGTTTGTTGAGAAATGTTTGATCTCTACAAGTTTGCAATGAAAGATCGATAAAATCTCTTCCGGCAATGTTGTAAAAATTTTGCACTTTGACTTAGACACCAAGCAAGTCAAAGTGCAAACTTTATGCAAGATTGGAGTAAGCTAATAAAAATTGTAAAAAAATAATAATAAAATTCCCATCTCTTATTGTTTTTGAAATATTAAAGAAAAACACTTAAAATTAATACAGAAATCTTTAATTGCAAACTTGTAAAGGTAGAACATTTTTCTACAAACCATCAATCTTTTGGAAGGCTTACCATGCAAGCATACCTGCTCTCTAAGTGATGTAGGAATAAGTATACATTATTTATATGTATAATATGTGACGCTTTACGAGAGCAGGGACGAATTTTACAGAGCGAGCGTTTAACTTTATGATAGGATATGCGAATTTGTTTTGAGATTGAAAACAAGGAGCACGAATGTGAAGGAAAAAACGGACATTGTGGACTAAATGAGTTAAAGCAGAAAATGTGTTATTACATCACTAAACGGAATGTTTAAATAAGTTTTAAAAATCAATTGTTAGCATTTTGATTTATAAGAATTTCATTCGATAAAATTTTTACATCTTTCTATTGTGTTCTTAAATTTAAAATAGTTTGCAATTAAATTCTGTAATTAATTTAGAAAATTTTAAAATGTTAACAAGTGAGGTGCTAACAATTGATTTTTAGAACTTATTAATGCGTTCAGAAAAAATTACCCCTTTTACAACACTTACAGAAAATCACTAAACTCACTTTGCGATTGTTAGGTCAAAAATATTAATTTTCTCGGAAACTTTACTTTTAAAATATTAAATGGATCATATTTTTGACATCTTCATAATAAATTTAGATTCATATTTTAAAAAAATAAATTTTTTGACAAAATTAACATTGTGGATTTAACAATAACATGCTGTTTATCTTTTCTTTTATTATAGGGATTTAATCAGAATTCCCGTTTGAAATCCCTGATGGGGTGTTTACTATACAGACTTGTAAATGCGAAAAATTATTTTACGGAACAGGGTATTTTCTAGGAAAACTAACAGGGCGCTAATAAGTTTTTCTTAATTAGAGCTATTAATGATTGTAAATTTCGATGAAAAAATTTTAGGGCAAGAATTAATTAAGAAAAAATAGAATATTTAATTTTTACTCTACATGTAGCTTTTATTTATTGTATAGTCTAACCTGTATATGACATAATTCTTATTTGGCCTAATCTTCATTCAATCTAATCCTCATTTGTATTAATCGTCATTTGTCCTAATTCTCATTTGGCCTAATTTTAATATAACCTAATTCTCATTTAGCATAATATTTATCTGCCCTAAATCTCACTTGGCCTAAATTTTCTATAACCTAATAATGTTTAGCTTCATTTTTATCTGACCTAATTAATACTTGGCCTAAACACCATTTCCTATAATTATCATTTGAAATAATTTTCATCTGGACGAATTATCATTTGGACTAAACGACACTTAAACTAATTTTCATTTGATCTAATCTTTATAAAATCTAATTCTAATTTAGCCTAATCATACTATAACCTAATTATTATTTGTTCCAATATTTATCTGACCTAATTCTTATCTGGACTAATTTTACTATATCCTAATTGTTACTTGTTCTAATATTAATATAACATATTTCTTAATTGGTCTAATCTTAATGTAACCTAATTCTCTTTTGGCCTAATGCTCATTTGATCTAATTCTCACTTGGCCTAAACTTCATTTGTACCTGTTCATGAACGTGAATTATAAGAGAAGAAAGAACAAAAGTTCTTTCTGAGTTCAGATTTAAGATGGAGAAACAACGTTCTTATGATTTTTCAGACGCAATTCGGATTGTCGAGATTAAGGTTTTTTTGCCTCGAAAATAATTTCTTAGTTACGACTCTAAAAGCCAAACCCCATGGGTTATTTTTCTCATCTCCGATCAGAACATTTCAAGAAGCTTAAGTTTATAGCCCGCTCAAAGATTTGCCTGGCATTATGCCACTTTTCTTGGAGCAGAAGGTTTCCCTTAGATAGGGTACAGACCCTCCTCGCGGTATGAAATTCTCTTCTTAGGCGGGCTAGTTCGTCGTTTCACCTGTACAGAGCTCCCTTCCTTGTTCTTCTTTTTCTCAGATACTATAAACTCAATGTACTGGTGATCGCTCCTGGTCGTTTCATCCAGAATTGTCTACTCTCTTATTCAACGAACCACTCGGAGCACCACAATTGTCAAATCGATGATCGACTCTGTTATCCCGCTACTGAACGTGAACTTCCAACCCCGGTTCATCACCATTATCTCCGATACCAAAATTCCTCTCTTGTCTAGACGGGACTCTCCCTGTTCCGTCGAATAATAATAATTTTTTTAGTCTCCTTTAAATAATTATCTATTCTTTATTAAACTTGTAAAAGCTAATTTTAAATTATTATTGCCATTATAAATAAAAAAATTATTAATATGCTACACACTCACAAAACTTTATTGATAGGTTTTCGGAAACTTGGCAAACGATCCTGAAATGGCCATTGAAAAACACAACAACTTTCAATCATTTTTTGGCGGTCTTATGTTACTGTTTCGGTAAGTCGAGCAGCTTAATTCTGAAATGTTGGAGAAAGTTAAAAAAAATTCGCTTGATTAAAGTTCACCACGCAACAAAGTGTTGAAAATGTAAAAAAAACTTTCATTGACACTTTGAAGACCAAAAAAAAGTTTAAATAGAATTTTATCAAATAAGGCATTCTTTACTTATGGTAATATATATTTATAATTATGAGATAATTTGTGTATGCTAGTTTAGGTATAAGTATAATTAAATTAAATCTGCCAGAAATAAGGCTGCTCGACATTGTTATTATTATTAAAAGGTATTATTTACTACTTTCAGCAAAAAATATTTTATTGTCTAGGTTATATAAGCTTACCTAGACATGTAGTCATTTTTAACAATAGTTAGCGTATTTTAAGCATTATATTAATTAGGATAGTTTCATGTATTGTAGATATTTAATAGAAATTTAGTTAATTTGTCTTGTGACTTTATCGCTCAGCAGAAATGAAAGCACATGAATTTATTCCTAAAATGTCCACCACTGCAGTTCATATAAATATATTAGTTATTTTATGAAATCTGCTCGTCTTTGTACAAATAAAAAAATTTTATAATTTAGTTGGTTATATTAGAGAGAACTCTGTTTTATTTAAAATATAATTGATTTAACACTGTTGAAAAATTGAAAAATAGCATTGTTGGATATTCTATGTTTTATTTAAATATATATATATATTTATGATAAAGAAAAATTATTGTTGGACTCACTCGTTAATGGTGCTTTCGCTCTGTTTTTGCAATGGCTATCTGCCTGGTACTATTCAGGTATTTGGCAACATCGCCTTGGACGAGAAGTATTCAATTAACAAGCACAACAATTTCCAAAGCTTCATTCAAGGTCTGATGCTACTCTTTAGGTAAGTGAAAGCCTGTCAACTGTTTATATGAATTTTATAATTTTCATCTTTAAGGTGTCATAAATGTAAACACTTTTTCTTATTACAATGCTTTTTTTCAAAAATGTTTTAAAGACAATATTTTTAAAAAATGATTTGAAACACCAAAATAAAAATTAGTAGAGAACTAGATAGTTCACGTATAGTATTAATATATGCATACTTCTAATATTTACTATCGTACTTTTCTGTATAAAGTATTTTAAAAATGTAAACTATTTAAGTAGAGATTTACTTACTTACTTTTACCATATTGTTTAAACCGACACTTATTATTTAAGGTGTTACACCACTGTTGGAAGCTGGAATTTAAGGTTTTTTTTGCTATTTTTTTCGTGGAAGGAGAAATAGGAAGATAATTAAATTGAAAGATATTGTTAGGCATATTTTATGTCAAACTTTAAACTTCGTAGGTGATGGTTCCTGGGATTTCGCTATCGCGACCCTTGCCGTTCTTACTAGCCTACTTGCCTTTGGTTCTTGCGAGAGTCTTCTTGGCTTTCTCAAGGGCTGATCTAAAGACTCTGCGTGCTTCAATTTCAGCGACGTGGTTAAGAGAAACCTTGTCGCTGGACTTCGCTTTGCACAAAAAAGTAACTGGGGTTCCTCTTGCAATCTGCAAACTAATGACCGGCTTCCCCGCACTTAAGGCACGCAGCCGATTTGTCTGCTTCCTTGCAGCTTCTTGCTAGATGGCTGTAACCCAGGTATCGGTGACACCGGACGACCATGACTGTTTCTTATTTGACAGCACATAAAGCCAATCTTTATGCGCCCCAATTTTTCCAGTCTGGCAGCCTCTTCTTGGTCGGTGACAACAAGTGCGGGTTTCATCCCTCGCTTGTTGGGTCCTAAGACCGTCACCTTTCTGCTTCCTGGCTTTCCGAGTTTTCGTTCTAGGGCTTCTGCTTCATGGGTAAGGAAATCCAGGTCGCGGATCTCAAGTGTAACGTTCGGATCCACCGTCTGCACCTTACCTATGTTGCCAATAGCCTTGATCACCTCGGCGGTAAAAACTACCTTGTCCGAGTCACCTCTGACCCTGATCAAGAGGTCTCTTCCGGACTGCCAGTACTTCGTTTTTTTTAAACTGATGCATATTTCGCGTTCCTCGTTTATGGCCTCGTTGTCTATGTCAGGTTGGATTTAGATGTCGATGTAAATGCAGAACCCAAAATAATGAGAGTGAAAAGGACAGGGATATATCACTATCGTTTTCACTCTCATTATTTTCGGTTTTGCATTCAGCATTCACATCAACATGTAACTCCACCTTCAGACGGACTTAAACTTCTTCCGCCGCTGACACTTACAAATTGGCTTCCCTTTTTGATGAGCGGTTGCAATGAAATGTACTCTGCCAAAACATAAAAATTGTCTTTCTAAGGAATTAGATTCAACATCTGATATTTGTTCTTGTAGTATTGTTTCGCTTCATCAGTGTAATAAATAATTTTTTGCACGTTTGTGAATACTTTTTTAATTTCTGCAATTAGTCTCTGCTGTAGCATGTACACTGCTGCAGTATCATGCGTTGTACACTCTCTGAAAGTGGTACAAGTGCACTTCTTTATTTCGTCATTTTCTTTGTAATAAAAAACTGCGGAGTGAAATGTGCACTAATCATTACAATGAAAACCTTGCACAGCATCTTGAGGCATAGCCTTCAGATAAGTCCATTTAGACTAAATCTCACCTTCTTGCGGATTTCTGTTCCTTTCTTTAAAATTGTCTTTTTTGCAATGTAATTATGTGGCAAATGCTTTTTTAAATAGTTCGCTTATATAGACTTCTAAAGAAAAACAGTTTTTTCAGAGTGCATCTATTAATCGATTGCCAACAACTACAAATGATTTTAGAAAATTTCTTCTCTAAACTATTTGAGATTGTATTTAAAAAGTTTTCACTCCAGGGCATGTGATCTAAGAGAAAATAAAATTACTCTGGAACTTTGCATAGGACAAGCTTAAAACAATATTTGTAGTTACTTTTCACTTTCTCTGAAACACATGTTGTTGAAAATTCACGGAATTAATCATCAATTTAAAATTTTGATGAATCAAACAAACACAAACGCTTTTTCTGCTTTCTGATCCTGCACAGGCACAATTTTTCGATCTCAATTGAAATTTTGATAATCCTATTGGGAATTCCGGATTCTCTTTTTTGAATTGTGGTTATTTACTTTTTTAATATCCTTTTTTACAGGCTTTATACAAATATTCTAGTCACATTTTTAAAAATGCTGAACTTTATTTATTGTTTCCTCACGTACTGTTTTACTTTATTTCGAATCCCTATTCACAAATGTAATATCTAAAAATTTTAATATCTGGTTCGTGATCAGCGTCTCCCAACTCTGGAGTAATAAGTTTTAATCAAATAAGACCAATTTTATAAATTTTAAGTGCCGTATTGAATCTGACGTTTTAAATTTTGAAAAAACCCCAAGTAACGAGTTTTAAGTGAATTCAATGAATTTTTAAAATTAGTCCCCAAAATTGGATCTACTATTTAGAATATTGAATTTCCGGTATAAGATTCGAAATCGTCGCCCCAAAGAACATATAATCAGAGAATTTATAATCATTGTCTCCAAGTTAACAATTTATTTACTTAAGCATTACGTCCGTTTGACGTGGAACATTTCATATTTGAAGTGTTACTAATTTTTACTTTTACTGCAGTCCCATTTCCATTATGGGACAAATAAAGTCACTTCGGGTATATATATTATAATCATCGAATACTGTCTTGTTGCGATAATTTTACCTGTTCAGTTGTTCAGAGTGCATAAATTTCGGGCACAGTTTAGTCTAGTGTAAAAGTGGTTGTAAAAGTGACTTGTGTAAATTAATAAAAATTTTAGAATCTAAGAAAAATCGAGTATTCGAGTTTGAAAGTTAAAAAAGTGCGTGAAAAGTACAAGTGGAGGCAATACTGAAATAACTCCATTAAACCTTTAAAAAAATACAATCTGAGGGGGATTCTGTCAAGGACAGCTATGATGCGGAAAGCATTCGAAACGACGCCTTGGATTTTGAAATAACAAATCTTGTTGTAGGCAGCTTGGCGCTAAGGATGTCTCGGAAACGCCGCAACGCGGAATCGTCACAGATAATCTCACAAGAAATAGCAAACTAACAAGTGAAGACAAGGAATCCCCCTTTCCGGAACAAGGCCCGCTTTTTCCAAAATTACGACATCCTTCTTTCGTACTCTAGAAAAGTCAGTCTTTGTCAAACCCAACTGATCAGCACCTAATGGAAAAACTGGAAGGGACGTTGACCACTTGACTCTAAGCGCCGATTGATTATAATCACTTGTAATAAGACTTGACAAAAGTCACATCTCTAGAATGTTGAACGAAAGAAAGCAAAGAGGAAACGAGATAAATCTATGCGAGAAGAGAGAGGCAACCACTTGTCTCACAAAAACGTTATCTCTCGTTGTAATGGACTTTTTACAAAAGATAAATAAAAGAATAATAATAACATTCTACACTAAAATTAATAAACAATGATTCATACTATTTAAAATTTATAAATAAACAATAATAATTAACTGAATGAAATATAAACAAATAAAGCAAAATAAACAAAAGAAATTCTCATAATTATAAATGAATAACAATAGACAAAATATTAATTTTATAAAAAGATATCGATAATTTAAGCCAAAGTCTCATAGTCCAAGACAATTGAGGAAAAGAAGAGGGGGAAAAGGAGAAAGCCATTTCAATATTTTATCAACTCTGCAGCGCTAAACTCAGCAAAAGTTGGGCGCCATTCCTTTCTTGGGACAGTTTTCTTAAAAACAGTTAAAATTAAAAATGGAACTAAATTCCAAGATACAGGATCAAAAATCCGAAAAGTCAATATTACGGGATCAAACACCCAAAAATTAAAAGATAAATTAAAATTTTGCTTCAACATTGAGAAAAATGAAATGCTTTCAAAAGGAAGGGATACTAAATTTGCTGGCTAGTCAGGGTCGCATGACCAAAGGAATAGAGCGTCGGAGTGCAAAGAAAGTATACCATTTTTACAAAAGATTAATTATAACGTTTATTAAATTATTCCCAAAATCTCAAATTAACAATTCAAACAAAAAAATATAAAATTACAAAAGAAAATTAGCTCTAGCATTTCTCAGGTCAAGTCAAAATTAAGAATTAATAAATCAATAAAATGGTCAAAATAAATTCACATGATATTAATAATCTTTATTCTAATAAGAAGGTCACAATAATAAAAGGGGCACAAAATTAGGTAGCAGGGACAAAAAGGGAAGAATCTAGAATCGGTCACAATAATAAATCCAGGGATTGGTAACGACAACGATAAATTAGGGACAAAATAAACCGATTTCATAATTTTAATTACACAAAAGAAAAAAAAAGAAAATGAGAAAATAGTGAACTCTTGAAAATCCGACACGTGTTCAAGCAAAAAGTGAGAAAAAGCAAAAAAAATTTAATAAAATTAAAAATTTGATTATTATCACAACAAAAATTAGAAATTAAAATAAAGCATTATTTTAAAGAAATAATGTTCAAATACTAATTTGCTTGAACACGAGGTCGGTCGATTATTATTAGAAAAATCTAATATTTCACATTTTATTATAAAGAAAAGGAATATTTATGAATGTTGCAACATTACTTACTTTTTCTATTAAAGAAAATCACGTCCAAAAAAAGGTCCTCGATAAATTGTACACTTTTCACCAACGAAAATTATTAAAAAAAGTTTCTTAAGAAAATGCGACTTTCGCCAATGATTGCCAAAAAGCAAGAGAGCGAAGAAAGTCCTTCCCACTTACCCCGCTGGTAGCCACCAAGGCAACATGTATTACTGCGCCAAGGCGATCAAGCGCCAGGAGCGTAGTTGCTGGAAAAAGTAGTTACCCCAAAGTAAACTACACACAGTTTTCTGCTTCCTTTTGCTATAGATTTCCATCCTTGTCTTCCATGCCGTCAACCTCCGAGAATTTAGTGACGAACTCAACTCCCTTAATTATGATTTCTCAAAAATCAAAGATATTAATTAAGGTTGAGAAAAATGTATAATTACTCGGGCACTGGCTAAAGGTTGTCTCCACTGGAACGGAGAAATGACAGGAAATACTCTCTCAAATTAAATTTTGAATTAACTACCCCAAGTATTGAAAATGTCTATTATTTAAAAATACTGGGTGTTATTTAGGGGTTGGTAACAATTTGTGAGTTGGATGTAGAAATATAGTAACGATAATAATATATATTTCTTGGGGATTTTTGGTCACGTGATATTCTCCTCCAAACAGGGTAAGCGGAAGTGACGATATGGCGCAAGCGTGTTGGCTTCTGTTGAACCAATGAACAGGAACCGGGAACTCTCCTTCATTTGAACAGCTTGTCGAATATTTTTATTACAGAAAAACAAATAAAACAAATTTAGAAACAAATATTATAAGCGACTATGACTCATTTTTACTGAATTATTTGGTGGAAGAGTTCTCATTATTTCATGAGAAACTTTTCACTAAGAGTATATTTTTCCGCTGTTTACTGAAGATCAATAATGTACAAAAATGACCTTCGCAAAATGTCTTAGTATTGATAATAATAATAATATTCAGTAGAGTAGTTTAAAGTAGTTTATGCTTAATGGTAATTCAGCAGCATTTCCTACAATACTGCATCACTGAATGAATTGTAGACGCTTTATTAAAAAAAGGCATTTTTATTGTAATGAAAGTATTCGTAGTATTTAAAAAATTTACTTTATTTAGTAAAGAAAAGATAACTGTGTTTTAATTTAAGAAAACTTTTTTCAATTTTAGAAATGCAAACAAAATTTCTAATTCGTAGAGTGGAGTGGGGAAAAATACATTTCGCTTTTATTTTCGTGATCTACGTTTTATAAATTTAAAATTTAAGCTGAGGGTAGTTCTCACATTCCCCACATGTGCCAGGAGTCTTCAGTCGATTTCTAATAAGGCTGCCGAATAAAATCATTAGTAAAATTGACGGCGCCATTCTTAATGTTAGGGGAATTCACTGCAAAAGTAGGTGACTTGGTATCCAAAGTACCAATTTTTCAAACCCTTAGTTTTAAACTTTATTGGCTCTGGATTGGGAGCTACGTTTCAAAATATACAAAATTGGTGATTTTTCCCTACTCTAACATTTAGTACGTTGAATTTCTTATCAATTTTTTTTTAAATCTTCAAACTGCTCTCTCAGACTACTAACAAATCTACTTCAGGTTATATATTTTTTTTAACCAGTATTATGATATATGTGCTTGGCAGTTTGAAGAGCAAGAAAGAAACAAGTTTTCTTTATATTAAAACACATATTTGTAAAGTTCGTGGTGCCTTCGATCAAAGCAATATTGTACAGGTATAATTTAATTTTCCCTACAACAGATTTATTGCAAAAATCATAATAAATTAATTATATTTTTCAGATGTATTTTGTGTATACATTTTCTAACAGGAAAAATAGAAACAGTTTATTTATTGGCTTAAAAATTATTTAAATTTAATTAAGCACCGTATATTAAATACTTGAAAATTTCCTGAATATTTTTAATGTAATAATTTAATATTTATAATAAAACAAAAATTTTACTATCACTTATAGATGTGCTACTGGTGAAGCATGGCCAAATATAATGTTGGCATGTGTAAAAGATCGTCCTTGTGATGCCAATGCTAAAAAAGGTGAAGGGGAAACATGTGGATCAAATCTTGCCTACGCTTATTTCGTCTCTTTCATTTTCTTTTGCTCCTTTCTCATGTTAAATTTGTTTGTCGCTGTCATCATGGATAACTTTGACTACCTCACTCGTGATTCTTCAATTTTGGGAGCTCATCATTTGGATGAATTTGTTAGAATATGGGCGGAATATGATCCTAATGCAACTGGAAAAATTCATTATTCTGAAATGTACGACATGCTCAAGAACATGGATCCTCCATTGGGATTTGGTAATAAATGCCCAAATAGACTTGCTTACAAGAAACTCATCAGAATGAATATGCCTGTCGATGTTGATGGAAAAGTTAATTTTACTACAACTTTATTTGCCTTGATTAGGGAGAATCTAAGCATTAAAATGAGAAATGGTAAGTCATAATAATCACACCAAATTAGGACAAGAGAGAAATAGAATAGAAATAGTCAAATCCTTTTTTTTACTGATTACTAATTAAATTTTGCATTAGAATTTTATTTGTAAAAATATAAGCATAATATAAACTTAGTTCTTAATAAATATTTCTAATGCAGACTTAAATTTGTTGTTCACAGCCTCTGAGATGGACCAAGCTGATGATGAGCTTAGAGGAACGATTAGAAATATTTGGCCATTACAAGCTAAGAAGTTGTTGGACCTTTTAATACCTAGGAATGAAGGTATGTAGATACATATGAAATATGTATATTGTAAATATATGTTTTCAGGAATATGAAATAGGTTTCGACCTTCTGATTGGTCAATGTATAACACATTAGAATAGGCGGCAAATTTTGAAATATCTTCTTGAATCTCGTTAGACAATTATTATTTTCTTATAGATAAGATAAAATTAATTAAACTAAATCAATCTTGGAATATCCGCTGCAACCTCTAAATATTTAATAAAATTTATAAAAACCGAATAAATAAAATTTATTTTATTAATTTTTGAAAACAAATAAAAATTTGTGAATTTTTAAAATTAATACATAATTGAATTTATAATTTGAATTTCACTTTATTATTCTACAATGATAGAGGGAGAAATTGGCGCTAAAAAATACATAGGAGAAGTGCCCCGCGAAAGTAGTGAGAGAAAATCGCGGATCCTCGCTCAATCAAATTAAAGTTTCTTACTTACACACCCGAACATTTTGAATTTTACTAGACCCTTGAAACTAAGGGTAGGGACGAGCCTTTATAAGCCAAGAGAATGCACGTTTATTTCTTTATATTCTGAATAGTTCTAAACTGGTAATTGGCTTTCTTTCATATTTTTTTAATATAAGGGAATTTTTAAGAAACATTTAAATCCTTATTTAAATCTCTAAAGATATAATCAAATAATTTTTTCAATAATTTTCTTCGCTTACTGTTGATTTCTTATATATGAAAATTCACACAAAGTTTGTAAACTTATGCAGAACAGATATTTGGTGTTTATTTTTACTTCCCGTTGTAACGATAGAGTATCGTAGTATAGTGGAGCGGCGAAAAGAGAGGAAGTAGACAGCGTAAATAGTAGTGTCACTCTCTTCCCCCACCACTCGCTGTCACCTAGCTGCTAGTGATATACCTTTCGTCTCGAACCTTTTTCCTCAGTCTTCTTCCGACTCGTCTAGAGGTGCTTCTCTGACGATTGGAAGCGACTCACTCCTGGATACCTGGTGCTCGGTAGAGGTGCGTCTCTCTGAACACCGCGGAGACTTTCTCACTTCCTAGAAGGAGCTGTACTTGTTCCTGTAGGCGCTTCTGCGGAACGCCTTCCTTTCTCCTGGTGAACCGGAGAACGTCCTTGTCGAGTAGGGTCGCTCCTCTCTTGACAAAGATGATGCACTAGGTCGATTCCCCATCTCGAGGCGCTTCTCGGGTGGAGGAGACACTTAGTGAATACTACTTTGCACTAGCTTCGCGTCGGGCATGAATATTGGAACCGAATCCAATATCGAGCTTCTTCCTGATTACGAATAATAATCGACCCTAGTATCCGTCCGTACCGTCGTCTAAGGGGTAAATTCTAGAAAGTACCCCACGCGAAAGTAATATGCGTCGTCCTGATCAACATCTTCCCGAACGTGGTATAGTAAGAAATAGTTCCGAAATTAATTGAAACATAAATGGCGCTTCACGCCATCTGCCGAGATTTAAAGTAACTAGTCAAAATAGGTACCCGGACTCCATCCGGCGAACAAATCCTTTGGCAATAAAAGTCAGATCATTACACCGTGAAATTATTTAAAAAAATTATTCTAGTATAATTGTACAGGACATTTCCGATTGGTAGCAGAGTTTCTTAGGGTTACGATTAATCAATTCTATAAAGAGATAAAAATTATCCTGATTCTGATTGAAAAGTTCTTAAATGAAAAGAAATTAAACAACAAGGTAACTAAATTTTGATTTATTAATTGATTTCAGAGCTGAATAAAACCAAACTAACTGTCGGGAAAATATACAGTGGTCTACTTATTCTTGAAAGTTGGAGGACAACAAGGTTTGGTCAAATAGAAGGAACTGGTGGTCAAGTAAGTTGTGCAAAAGTCTGCTGACAATATTATGCGTAAAATATATGTGAAGAATATCGTCTAATATATATTTGCAAAAATAGTAAAAAAGTTACATATCAATATGCATCATTTATCCTTTTTTAAACTGAATATATGCCTCTTTTCAGTTTTAAATGTTTTATAAGAAAAGAAATTTCGTACACATTAAATTAACTATTTCCAAAAGTAATCGTTTGAAGAAGTGGACAAAATAGGGTATTTAAATAGTTTTTATTTATTTCCTGAATGACTACCCTAATTAAGTTAGCAAAGGTGTGACTGTTCCCTTAGGGCAAAGTCCCACAGAAGCATTTTGAGTTGCGTTTTTTCACTAGAAAATAAGTGTGAAAAAAATGAAGCTATTTTTGTTACTTTTGCAAACATTTTGTAGTTACAAAACGCAACCTTTTTTATTCCAAAATTTTTTGTAAAATCCATAATTAGTCGGTAAGTTAGTTTTCTATTAAAAGGAATACTAGACTTTTAGAAACAAGCGTGGAATAGAATGGAATTAAAAAAATTAATTGTATTGAATACTGGCACAATGGAATTAAAAGGAAATTCGGGGATTAAGAAGGAATTGATTTTTTTAATTCCACGCTTGTTGCCGGGAATGTTCTAAATATGATGACATCTTTGGCACACTAAACCCTTTAACGCCTTTACGTATTAAAATTTAAGTCATGTTAATAAAACATACTTCTGGATATGCTAATAATAATGGAATAACTATTATTGTTTTCTATTTAATCCTTTTAGAATTTATAAAATAAATTTTAATTCGATTAAGTGAAGTCAATTTATTCTTTATTATGAAACAATTAAAAGGAAAGGAATAAAGGCAAATATTCAGTCATGACTTTATTTTGAAACAGCAGCTTTTATATTTAGCTTAAAAAGGACGAGAAATTTGTAATATAATATTTTGTTTATTATAATAAAATTATGTTTTCATAATTAATTGACAAATAATTAAAATATGATGTACCTTACTTATTTTTCGCCCTTTTTATTAATTTACAGATCAAAATACAGAAATCATTAGAAAAAAATCTATTTCTATTTTATAGGATCTTGTAAATTCAGACTAAATATCTACTTAGACTAGACGACTGCTCTGTGTATTACTTCGTCATCCTTAGTATTTGATTACTGCAATGTAAATTGGATAAATATTGGTTAGCGTATTTATTCAATTTCATGATAGTCAAAATTGGAACACTTTTTATATGTTAGTTAAGTTTTAGAATTCATATCACATTAAATGAAACTAACTCTTAATTTTAGTTATTCATCTTTAGTATTGAGTTATTTATGCACCGAGAGAAGTGGAACAAAGTTAATACAACTGGAAAAAAGTGATTACATGAAATTCGGTTCGAGTTAACAAGCAAACAAAATATTTTCTTTGTACCCATTACACTGATTACTGTAACCAGGAAGCATCTGCTTAAAGTAACCAGAAAATTTAATTTTAATAACCACTATATTTCCTGATTATATTAATCAGTTAAATTGCTTTGTTTATGTAACTTGAACATGTGATTGAAGATCACAACAAAAATCTGATTGTATGAACCACAGATTTCTCTCAGTGTGCAAGCTCTACAGAAGGATCTTTCAACTCTAAGTCTTATTTTCATTTCTCTCTTTATTTTACAGATTGATAACGATCTAATCGATAACGATAGTGCCGGGCAAAATCCTGCAGCCCAGGCGGTAGTACTTATATTTTATCTTACAATTTATTCCTTTAATTTATTATTTTATTTATAATAATTTCGATATTATAAGTTTTGTTTCTAATATCTGTCAAAATCTTTTTTAGCTTATTTTAATTTAACATTATAATGTTCTTATAAAAATGTTTAAGTTAAATGATTAATTATGTAAGCAGTTCAAGTTTCACAAGGTCCAGAGTGTGGACAAACCTATGATTGTATGGTTATTTCATAGATTGTCAGAGTGCTGCCGGACAATATACGAAATACTATTTTATTTAGAGCTTTGTCCAAGTGCTGAAACAAATTTTTTCTACTTCATCTGCTCACTATAAATAAATTTTCTCTTTCTTAAAATTCATAATGAAATTAATGCCGAGTCGCAGGAATTAGCATCATTTTCCTGTTGTTCTCCTTAGTCTTTTTTAATTGTGTAATAAAGGATTCAAAATTTCTCCAAGAGTCCGCGCTCTGCAACATAATTGAAACCATGACTTCTGCTATGACATTAGTGCCCATAGCAAAAAATATGGCTTGTTTAAGTTCACAACAGTGCTCGCAAAAAAATAGCGTGTGCGTTCATTTCTATTTTTAATCTATAAAAATATTGACCGAAACAACCATGACTCGACAGCGCTTGTGTAAGGTAATAGCCAACTTCACCATGTTTTCTGTCTAACCGTGTGGGGAATCAGACCTTCCATTTGATTTCCTTCCCATCTCTCCTGACATCTCTAAACGAGTCTACTTCTGCATTCTCTACGTATTACCGCTTTGAGTCTATGGCTACGTTCTGAAGTACCCACCAGATCTTTGTTAATCTGAAAAATTTCCTACCTTTCCATCGTCAATAAATCTGTTGGCCGTAATCTAGCAAGTCCTAGAACAGCGCAAGTAGACGCCATTCTGAAGACTGACACTATCCTCCGTCAACGCTTGGACAAAGCCTAAAATTACAGTGTTTTATATTTTTCCCGTCAGCGCTCTGTCAAACTGTAAAATGACTAAGGTTACTCCACACTCCGAACTTTTATCACAACATATAAATATATTTACAATTTGATCTGACAAAGTAAATGTTTATCAGAACTGAGAGTAAACACAATTGTGAGATATGAGGATTTCCCAAAAAATACACGAAGAAAACGATTAGAATAAATTTTATCAAATAAAGTAAAGTAAAAAAAATAACATATTTTCACCAAGCAAATTTGGATTAAATTAAAATACAAAATACCGAAATGTTTAAAATAATTTTCATATAGATTTTTGATACTACGTAGGACTTTTTCGTCAATAAGATCGTTAAATATATTAGCGCGTATTAAGCTTAAAAAATATAACAACAAATTTTATTATAACAGAAAATGGTTCACTTTCATTATTTATTCTGTTAGATCAAATTTTAAATTTACATAGAGGAAAGTCTGTACATGTTTTCAATACTTGGTTATATACAGTCGTTACTGTAGTCTCTATAATATAATTCAAAGTATACAATAAATTTAACAGATTGTTTTGACAATATTATAAACAATATTAAGCTTGCTAATTCATCGAACTACCATTAGTATAGAATTCATTCCTTTTTAACTTTCAGTAAGTGACTTAAAATATTAAACGAACATATTCCCAAAGGTGCAAAATTAAAATTAGGCTTTTTAAGTAGACAACATAATTATAATATAATTTTCTCATAAGTGTTTAACAGCAGCTTTAGTTTGCTTAAAATAGTTGCGTTCAAATAATATAAATAATAATAATATTACATACCCGGATGATCCGGGAAATAGTCGACTTTGGATTTTTAATTATACTTCCAAAATATTTTTTCATTTCATTGATTTAGGAGATATAATAATTCAAAATTGATTAAATCAATTACAGAAAATTTCACTAGAATCTATTGTGCAATTTTTTGACATTGATTTATTATTAATGACCAGTATCGTAAGCATTTGTACACTTTTTTCTCCTTGTACTGCTAATTAATTAAATATTTTTTCCCATTCCTGAAACTATAAGTAAGAACATTTTATATGTTAATAAAATTTTAAACGTCCATTCGCTAAACACCGCTTTTAAAGTTTTATTATATTATTTAAATATGTTAACCACATTTTATTATTTAATTTTATTTCAACTATTATTTAAAAGCATATAATTGCACTTTTATTTAATTTCAAAAAAGTTTTCAAAGTCTTGTATATTTAACTATATTTTTCTAATTAAATTATTTTTTAGTTTATTTTATTTATTTTTATTAGTTCAGGTTAGAGGTGAATTCAGGATTTTTGTCTAGTCAAAATTAAAAGTAAATTTTTTTAGACAATCTGAAAGAATTTTATCAAATGATTGTATTTTTAATTTTGTTTGCAAATTAATTTTTAGAATAAATAAATCCTAAAATCATGTTCTGATATAAACGAATAATTTCGAAAAAAGAATTCACAAAATTATATTTTACTATATTTATCTGCTCAGGCATCATATTGTCTTTTGTGATCTTTTACAGAAGTTGGTGCTTCCAACTTGTGGAGTTTTCTCTACCAATGTCAGGAAAACTTGGTCAAAACAGAAAAATGTCAGATTGTTTCACAGTCAATCTTTTTGCACAGGCGGACATTTTTCTCCTTTAACCAATCTTTTCAGACATTGGCTGTGAAAATTTTTTAAGTTGAAAGCACCATCTTTTGTAAAGATTCAGACATGAAATTTTGCTGTTTGAGTAATTTTATTTATTTTATATTAATGCAGGATAATAATAAGCTTCCTTCAAAAATTGGCACTTATAGTTTTAATGTTGATGAGACAAAACTCACTTTTAATATAGTCAACTATCCATAGTCTGATAGATAGTTTCACTTTATTAAGGGGACTTTCTTCTTTAGAATTTATTGATAAGAAACATTCTTTTTTCAATCTTTTATTGTGAAAAATGTATTAAAGTTACTCCAAAAATTATTTATGGACATTGTAACATTTTACGTTTAAAGTAAAAAATTTTTTTAATTCCCTTCACGTAATATATAACAATGTCCAAAAAGAATTATTGGAATAACTTTAACACTGTTTTTACAATAAAAGTTTTTAAAAAAGTGTATTTTTTGTCAATTATAAAACAGAAAGTTCTCATAATATCTCAGTAGGTTTAGATGGTTTGCTTAAATACACTCAACACTTACAGCTTGATATTTCCTAAAGACATTTAGAAGTCACATTTCGACTAATAGTACCTTCAGCAACTACTCTGCAACAAAATAATACAATTAAAAATTATTAAATATAGTCATTTTTGTATAAATATTTATTAGTAATAAATTTCGTTTCATTTATGTTTCCTCGCAACAAAAGGTATTTTGGAATTTTCCCAAAAGGTATTCTGAAGACTTTCTCTGAATATCCTTAAAATACTCGGAAAATATTTTTAGCATCTTGTGGATACTTCCAAGTGTGCTCGCATGCTATTTTAGGGCGGTTAATTTATGAAAAATAAAGATGAAGAATGTAAAAATTTATAAATGGTAAATTGCAATTATAATTTATCTTTCAAGTGTACGTTGATAATTAGTGTATTTTTAATAATAATTATGGAATAAATTGACGTCAAGCTTTAAACTTCGTAGGTGAAGGTCCCTGGGATTTCGCTATCGCGACCCTTGCCAATCTTTTTGGCCTATTTATTCTTCGTTCGTGCGAGAGTCTTCTTGGACTCCTCAAGGGACGTTTTGAAGACTCCGCGTCCTCCGCTGATAAGGCTAATGCTCGCCTTATCGACATACTTTTCTCTACATATGAAGCAACTTGAGCTTCTACTGCAGTTTGCAAAATTATGATCGGCTTAACGGTATTTGAAGCACGCAGTCGATCTATTTACTACCTTACAATCTCTTCCTATGTGACGGTACGCCAGGCACTGGTGGCACTGAACGACTATCACCCTTCTTTTTATTGGGTAACACATAAAGCCAAATCCTAACGCGTTTTACTTTCTCCAGCCTGTTCGCCTCCTCTGGATCGGTAATTATAACTGTGAGCTTCATTTCTCGTCGGTTGGGTACTAGAACCATCACTTTCTTGCTTCCTGGCTTCTGGAGCACTTCTGCTAACACCTGTTGGACCTCTTCTTCCTGGGTAAGACAATTCAGGTCACGGATCTGCAGTGTGACTTGTTTATCCACGGTCTGCACCTTCCCCATGCTTCTAATCGCTTTGGTGACCTCAGCGGTGATTGCCTCCTTATTGGAGTTCTCTCCGATTCTTATCAGGAGATCTCTTCTTTTTGTAGATCTTCCTCCCACGACCTGCGTGTGGGTGAGGTCCGAAATTACTTTCCTCCGAAGTTTGCTCAGTATGTTGGTATAAGTTGTTCTTGTTGCGACTCGGATTAACCTTTGTAGACTGTCTCGTTGCTTTTTTCATATTGGTTTGCTCAGGATTCGGTGTTACCGTCACCTACGCAATCTTTTTTAAAATTTTTTTTTCGCCTCTTACTTTTTTTCTTTGCCTCGTCGTCAATCCTCTTTAGACTGCCAGAACATTTTTTTCGTTTCTGCGCCTCTATAACTTCACATTTCCTGTAGCACCACCCAGGTTGCTATCTCCATTCTCTGCTAGGGTGTGCATTGTCTTCGCCTCACTGACAAGATCCTGAAAAGTCTTAAGTCCGTCCTTAATAGTTATGTTGACATTCTTCTGGATTTCGCAAGACTTTACCATCTTGGCGATCTCCGCATTGATCCACTGAAGACACTCAGTGTGACAAATTAATTAAAAAATTAAATATCCCAATTAATAAAAAAAACTGGTTCAGGACAATTAGCAAACGGAGAATTCTTAACAGTCTCTAAAGAGGTAGTGTTACACATAGAACTGATGTCCAGACTCATTTCCCTTCAAAGTTTTGTTCAGTACGACGGCATACGTTGTTCCTGTTGGATTCGGTGTTACCGTCACCTTCTTAATTTTTTTGACAAGAGATGCCTCCTCTTGCTTTTT